GCCAGTAATCTCAGCAGTTTGGGAGGCTGAGGCTGTAGTACTGCAAGTTTGAGACCAGCCTGGGCTACTTTGGGAGATCCTGTCTCAAAAAATAAAATGAGGTGGAAATGTAGCTCAGTGGTAGAGTGCCCCTGGGATCAATCCTCAGCACTTAAAAAAAAAAAAAATTTTTTTAATAAGAATTCTCTGACATTGTGGGACTTACTAGGGGATTGTTTATTCAGTGGACATAAATAGCAAATGCAACAAAAGTTTCATTGGCCCAGGTTTCAGAATTTCAAGCTAGCGAAATTCAGTGGTAGCAAATTGGCAGTGGTCAGCATTGGGTCATTTAGATACCATGTCCTTACTATAGCTAAAACCATTTACATATTGATATTAAATAATTTTTACCCTTTATGCCGAACCAGAAAACAAGGTCTTTATAATTAGCGTCAACTCCCATTTTTCAGAAATGTTACCTTTGTCACAGAGATAGATCAGAAAAAAACAAAATTCTCTTTGCAATTATAGTCATGTGCCACATAATGTTTTGGTCAATGATAGACACATATATGATAGTGTTCCATAAGGTTATAATGGAGCTGAAAATTTCCTATCATCCAGTGACATTCTAGCTGTCTTAACATCATTACTCAATGCCTTATTCACATTGTACATTTCAAGTACATAATATTTAATAATAAACTTTTACTTTTTTACATACTTTTATTTTATCACTTACTTATAAAAATAGCAATTTTAAATTTTTAAAAAACTCAACTGTGAATTTGTATGACATGTTATCTGAGCAACCTCATATCTATTTTTTAAATTTTTTTTATTTGTTTATTTTTATGCAGTGCTAAGAATCGAACCCAGTGCCTCACGCGTGCGAGGCAAGTGCTCTACCACTGAGCTACAGCCCCAGCTTCATATCTTGGATTTATCAAGTCTTCCTTGTATCAAGGGACCATGTCTAACGATTGACCTATGCTATCTGGGTTTACATAAGGACCTCTGTGATGTTGCCTGACAGTGAAATCACATATAGATACATTTGTCAGATATTCCTGTCATTAAATAGGGCTTGACCATTTTATTCTATAATTCTGCTTTCTTTCCTATTTCTCAAATATTAAAATTTAGCTACTATATAAGTGACTTGTCAAACCATAAAATTTCCTTTCTCACTTTTCAAATTGCTGATTTTTCTTTCCATACATTTCACAGAATTTATCTTCAGGTTAAGAGTAATTGTCTTGGATAAGTCTTGGATAATTTGGTTAATTTTATTTATTTATTTATTTATTTTTGCATTACAATTCTTAATACACCTTTATACCACAACTTATCATATCTCTGATTGTATATAAGATCTGTTGACACCAAATTCACATCTTCATACATGGATTTTGTATAATCATCCATGCTATTCCCCTTCTCCCTCTCTTTCCCTTCCACCCCTATTCCCTATCTAGAGGTAATCTTCCTCCCTTGTTCTCCCCCCCACCCCCTTTTTGAATCCCCCCCCCCCCCCCCGCCCTTATATCAGAGAAGACATTCGGACATTTGTATGAAAGGATATTCTTTATAACCATAAGCTTATTCTACCTCTCACCTTACAAATGTATGCCTTTCTAAGAGGACATGAGCAGCCACTGAGTCAAGTTAGAGATAGATAATAAGGTAGACCTCATCAATTGGTACAGACAGGCACACAAAAGATAAGTTCTCTACTATTTATGTATTCTTTCTTTGTGATTATTGTCTAATGACTATTTTTTTAATTTGCTGAAGATATTTCACTTTTAGAGAATATGCTTTCAGTAGTATATGCTGCTTCTTTGGTTCGTACCCAAATTTCTGAGCAGAGTGGTATTTGCTTGCTTTCCTGCGTGCCCATGCTCCCTTTCCTTCTAGCGTGCACACAGGCAAGCATGCTTGCTCGCTCTCTTGCGTCCCCCTCCCTCTCTTCCTCTCTCTCTCTCTCTCCCCCTCCCCCTCTCTCTTTCTCTCCCTCACTCTTCCTCTCTCTTCCTGTTTCCCTCTCTTCCTGTCTCCCTCTCTCTCTTCCTCTCTCTCCCTCTCTCTTCTCTCTCTCCCACCCTTTTCCTCCGTGTGCGTGCGGGCGCGCTGCCGCGGGAGCTCGCTCTTTCTGTGTGCGCGCTTGCGCGCGCGCACCTGCTCACACACCCGCTCACACATATATGCACATGTTTGGGAATCAAGCTCGGGGCCACACCCATACTAGGTATGTGCTTTTTACACTGAATTACCTATCCAGTTCATAACACCTTGGTTTTCAGGTGGACAGTTTCATGTCGAAATGTTTTCTGTTTGTTTTGCGCGGCGGAGTGGAGGGTCAGGGAAGTCCTAACCTGTGCATTATGGATACATTCTAAATATTCAAAAAAATACATGTGCATATATGTTATGCACATGTATATATTATGTAGGTTTGCCTATTTAACTCCAGAAATAAATTACTGAATAGATGTAAATAGAATTAAAAACCTGCTTCTGACAAGATGCTAATTATGCCTTAGACAGGCTTGTTTTCTTTATTGGGAGGAATGTGTATATATTTCAAGACTCTTCTCTGTGGTGAATTGCTATCCAGTGCTAACAATGATCTTTGTGAAGTAGAAAGAACACAGAATGACAGTGGGTTTGGAGGGACAGAAAATACATGATTAAAATTTCTGTTAAATTCTGTAGAAATTTTTCTAGTCATAGGAATGTTCTTAATGCATAATTTGCTTGAGTCAACTGTATATTTATTCTTTGTGGCCAAATGTTTTGGCCACTCTTGTCTAGGTGGGTTCATTTTATGACCTTGCCAGGAAGTTAAACAAAGATAGAAAATTAGAAAATCAAATAATGACTACATTTTGTTCATTCTTAATCCTACTATACAAAATTATAATTTGTTTATTAGATGGTACTAGAAGGTGGGAGTCTTTGAAAGTATATCACTGGAATGGAGCCATCATGAAAGAGATTATAAAAAGACTCAGAGAGCTTTCTACAAGAAATACAAGAAATGGGAAGTCAGTAGTCTGCAACCCAGAAAGGGATCCTCACATAAACTAAACGTGTTGGCATCTTGATCTTGCACTTCTAGCCTCCAGATAAGAATTTCTGTTGTTTATAAGATACCCACTCTATGGTACTTTGTTATACTCACTCCAATGACTAAGACAACATAATATTTAAACAAACAAAACAAAACAAAAAAACACCAAGAATGGCTATTAATGTTTGTCTGGCAGACATAGATAACAATAATTAAGATTTTGGTTATGAGGAACTTGTATCTTGATATTCCTAGGAAGTATTTAGTTTGTTTGTTTAGATTTGAAGTAACTAACATCTCATCCTCTGAGTAGTTTTTTTTTAAATTCTTTTGGTAAAATCTAGTAGAAGTAATAACTAAAGTGTCAGAATCTGCTTGTTAACAGAATCATGAACTTCTGGAATATATTTAATTCAGTGTTGATGTAGTAAATCTATCTTTCTAAAATAGCTATCAAATTTTTATAAAGCTGCGTATTTGAGGTTGTTTAATGTAGCATTGTTTGTAATAGCAAATTTTTTTAAAAAATTCCCAGACACAGCTAAGTTTTATCAGTAATGATCTGGTAAAAATGACATACAGTGGCATATGATGCAGATCAAAGACTATAGATAGTAATATGTACTGATATGAAAATTCAAGGTGCTGCATACTAATTTACAATTTGCATTGTGTGTATATATTTGAAAATAATTTTTGTTCCATTTCTTTTTTTTAAATTTTTTTAGTTGTTGATGGACTTTTATTTTATTCATTTATTTATATGCAGTGCTGAGAATTGAACCCAATGCCTCACACATGTGAGGCAAATGCTCTGCCACTGAGCCATAACCCCAGCCCTTTTGTCCCATTTAGATAAACGGGCTCCCTAGTTACTGAAATAAAGTTGTTATAGAAGGAATAAATGAGAAACTTTACCCAGTCTTATGCTGCAAAGCAGTGTAGATCTGTTATGTTTATAATGTTGCTGCCACTTTCCTTTCTTTTCCTCATCATTTCTTCCTTTGCCCAAGAACATTTATCAGTAGTTATACATATGCTTGCTTTAACACTTTCTGGACTTAAAAAGGGGGATCAGACAGGGAAGCCAGCCTAGCAGAAGATACTTGAGTCTAGAGGCTTGAACACTTAATAAAGAAGATCAGATGGCACTAACTTGGAATAAATAGCTGTATAAATAAATGAATGCTAATGACGCTCTGTCTTTTTGTTTTCATTTGTATTATTTCAGTATTTTTTTTTTCCTTCAGGAAACATCCACAAAATCCATTGGTATTCTAACCAAAGATGTATAAGATCTCTTTACATCCCACTTTCTATTTATAGAGTTATCCAATCATATAATTTTGGATAAAGTAGCTACCTGTCATTTTTAAACTAAAAGGAAGTAAAATAACTAATACTATAAAGCAGAAACTCATACCTCTATGGGAAATAAATTACTACAAACCCTTCAGGAAGCCATTTGGAAATATGCACTGAAGTCTTAAAATGCATTTTGGCCTAGAAATTCTTCTGAGAAATTATCAAAAGGAAAAAATCATAAATATAGAAAAGTGCTGTAAACAATGGAGTTTATCACAGAGAAACATGAGAACTCTATTTGTCCAACTATTAGAAAATCATCAAGGAAACCCCAACCAATTGTTGTGTAGCTATCAAAAATGTTGGCTAGGAGGCTAAAATAACATGAAAGATGCTTTTTGTATATTATTCAGTGGCTAAAAAAAAGTGGGGTAGAATATTTTCATTCAATATGATTATAAATTGAAAATATACTTATGCCTAGAAAAATAAGTACATTAAAGTATAGGCAGACATTGTGTTTGGATGGGGAAACTATTTTCCTTTTATAGCAGTTTCAAAAAGTTTTAATGACTAGTTCTTACAGGAGGGAGAAAGAGAATAACTTTACTAATTAAAAATATTACTTTCCTTATAGCTTTAAGTAGCAGTAGTAAAAGTCAGTTTTCAAGCATTGGAAGACTTATAAAGGAACATTGTGCAACATGGAATCTTTACCAGAAGAATTTTTTGTGAGGTAAGGAATAGGTTGACAAAAACAAACTCATTTGTTAAGATTCCAAACGCATGACATTAGTCTTTTCCATGTAACCTTGGCAGTCTATTATGAATTAGATATCCTATGCTACAAGACAGTTTTTGATTAGTGGGGGAATGAGGAGTGGGTGAAGTATAATTTTAGAGAAGTTCTCTACCAGGGCTAATGAAAAATGTGCTACAACTTGCTGTACTTGGGACATTCTCAACAAAATAATTTTAACATACACTATGTACTTGCTATGTTGAGACACTGTTTTTAATGCTTTTACAAATGCTAATTTATATAAACCTCATAAAACTCTATGAAGTAGATGCTGTTATTTTCACTTTAAGAAAGTAACTTAAGCATAACACAGGAGACCCTGTGGTATTCTGTTCCCTCCAAACAGTGCAAATTCAGCCTGCCTGTATGTCTTCCATATAATGCTGAACACCCTTGAATTGTCTCATATACTAAGCAATGTTACATATTAATTTATTTCACAAGCATTTACTGCCTCCTTGGTGCGGAAGGAATAATGATTAATACAAAATCTGTATACTTAAGAGTTTATAATGTAATAGGAAGATATGTGAAAAGAACTGTATCTGTAGGCAAAGTGTATAATATTAGAAGTGTTGTGGCTATGTTTCAGAAGGAACAATAATTATTGACTAGGAATTGAGTCAGGTTCTACAAATTGATATTGAACTGATCTTTAAAAAAAATGAGAATTTTTTTTTAATATCAACTTGCTATTTTTACTACCATCTATCGTCCAGTAAGGTCTACCTTAACGTCTTTGAGTCCATAAAGAGATGTGATACTTACCAGGATTATCTAAAACTTTAGACAGAACTCAGTTGTTAGATTGATTGCTACTATAATTCGTGATCTTTGTAAGGAGATGCTCTGAAAACACCTCTGTTACTCATTTTCAGTAGGGATTCTACTGTGGAAGAACAGACTGAAGAGGAAACTGAGAATAAGATAGAAAAATCAACCAGTCAACTGGTAAGAGAAAATTTAATTTTCATTTATTTGTAGTTAATTAATAATGATTAATTCTGTATGAGAATGTAATGCTAAATTTAGTCAATAATCTTAAAAGCTTTTGAATGAGTCCACTTTTCTAAATGAGTAAGATGATCATAATTAAATATTTCTTGCATGATTGATACTATATGTCAAAGTTATCATTCTAAGTACCAATTCTCACTGTGAGTTAAAATTAATAGAAAATTAAATTCACTCTCCCAGAAACATCTGAACAGTTAGTTTTAAGAAATTTCTCATTTTGGGCCAGGCTTGATGGCTTGTACCTTAAACCTAATATGATGACGGCAAAGGGATTACAAGTTTGAGGTTAGCCTGGGCCACTTAGTGAGATACTGACTCAGAAATATGAAAGGCCTGGGGATATACGCTCAGTGGAAAAGCATTTAGTATACTATGTGTGAAGCTCTGGTTTTAATCCCCAGTTCTGGGGATAAGAAAGAAAGAAATCATATCTTTTTCTTTTGTGTGCACGTGTGTATGTGTGTGTGTGTGTGTGTGTATTGCTGGTGATCAACACATGTTAGGTAACTGCTCTACCACTGACATCCCTAGCCACCTCATTTGTCTTTTCAAAGGAAAATTCAAGAAAAATGAAACTACAAACACATATGTGAATGCAATCACATACAAAAATTTTATTTATTAAGATGTTTTGCTGAATTATTTATGAAGTTACTTTTCTTATTTTTATTATATTTCCTGTTAAAAATTCTAGGCCTAAATGAGAAGTTCTGCATTATGCATTGATGTAATTTTTGTATTGTCAATGACAAATACTTTATAGTTGATTAAAACATTTATGTGAATACTATATATCATATTTATTGAAAGTTTTTTTTTTGTTTTGGATTTTTTTTTTTGGTACTAGGGACTGAATGCAGAGGCACTTAACTACTGAGCCACATCCCCAGCCCTTTTTATTTTTCATATTTTATTTAGAGATAGAGTCTTGATGAGTTTCATAGAGCCTCACTAAGTTGCTGCAACTGGCCTTTTACTTGCAAACCTCTTGTCTTATCCTCCTAAGTGCTGGGATTACAGGTTTGTACCACTGTACCCAGCAAGAAAAGAGTAATCTATATAATATTGTAATTTAAAAAAAAAAAGAAAAAAACTTTTGATACTGGGGAATAAACTCAGGGGTACTTTACCACTGGTTCTTCCCAGCCCTTGTAATTTTTGAGACAGGATTTCACTAAGTTGCTTAGAGAACAGAGAGACTATCTTATTCTTACTTGCATTCTACGTGTCTGTCACAATGATATACATATAGTAGGAATTTGACTCTATTTTTAATAGTTTTGCTATTAAAAATTTTGTTTTAATCACTAGAGTAAACGAGAGTATGTAGAATTGTATAAATTTTTAATGGATAAATGTCTTGTAGGACAAACAGAAAAAGGACATACCTACTGACCTTGTTCCAGTTAACCTGCTATTAGAAGTTAAGAAGTTATTAAATGCAATTAATACTCTACCAAAAGGTGTGATTCCTCACATTAAGAAGTTCTTACAAGAAGATTTTTCTTTCCAGACTATGCAGGTAACATTATAATTTGTCTTTGAGGCAGAAGTAATAGCTCTATGTAAATGATTTCTTTTTTTTAACTCATGCAGTGTAACTCAGGTCTTGGAATCTTCATTTTACTACTACTTCTTTTTTTTAAAAAAGTTTTATAGTTATACATAGTAGTTGGGTTATTCCAACAAACTCATACATGCATGGAAATCAGTTGCAATTTATGACCCCTATCATTTTTTGTGTGCATATCCTTTTATAGTTACCTTATTTCTTCTAGGACTTTTCTCTGTTTTGGGTGTATGCATAAATGCCAAGGATGTGACCTAAGTTCCCTCTGATTGTTCCTCCTTTTATTCTTGTTGGTTTGGGACTTTTGTCTCCTTACTTCTTTAAGTTGGAGTAATGTTAGGGAATGTTTAGTTCTGTAGCAGTCTCTAATCTGTGAACTTTTAGTGTCCCTATAGATTCCCAGCACCTCACAGAATGGGGCAAAATACATCGTAATAACAACTGTTGCAAACAATAAACAATACACAGTGTTAAAGCAAATTGTCACTAATAAAGAGGAATGGTATATTTAGCACTTGTCAATGGTAAGAACAATAACCGTGAACTAGATCTGGCTTGAAAGAAAAGAGCAGGTGTCAACTGTATCATCCACAGCAGTAATGACTGTATTTAGCATTAATGGTGGGGGTATGAGTTATATAGACCAATTAGTTCTGAAATGTGGTAAAAGTAGAGTTATTTATGGGAAAAGGAAACATGTTAGGTAGTTAGAAAACACTTTACAATTTCAGAAAGTGAACAGAGAATGCAGAAGAGATGTATCAAGTAATCTTTATAATGAAGGAATGGAAAAAAATAGAAGCAGCATGTATCAAGAAAGAAGGAATGAAAACAGTAGAATTTGGCTATTAGCAGGAAAAGAGAAAGAAAAACAAGAGAAATAAACAAATGAAAATAATACAAAACCAAACTAAAATATACAGTCTAAAATGTCTGAATCCTCTAAAGGTAATGCTAGGAAAAAGTAATTACAATATTTTTTAAAAATGCTGAAAATCAGGGGGGAAAAATAAATGTATGTATATGATTCTGAACCAATCAACACAGCCAGAATTCACATGCATGCACACTTTCTGTCTCATATACACATATGGAAAGAATAAAAAATAAAATAACTTTTAAAAATTCCAAAATCTTAGTGAAGAATGAAGGAACTTTAACTTTCTCCACTGAGGTAATCAAAATAATTGACCAGAGTAGGTGAGCACTGCTTATGTCCAATAGACTTTCTTTCCATTTCTTCTTAAGTAATGTACTAAGAGCAAAGGGTAAAAATTGTTAATTCTTTCCTGTTTTTGTGTTGCTCTCTGAACTTCCAATTGAAGTGGTCTAAGATGGAAGCTGTTTGATGTAAGACTCAGCTTCCCTGTTTATCAGTATGAGGTGGGATGGGTTAGGATGTACTGCTTGGCATTTTGTTCATTTGCCGGGAGAGTGGACTGAGGTCTAATCAGGATTTGTTGGGTAGACCCTTTTTTGGAGTGACTAGATTGACTCCTAGAGCTAGACTGTAGCTGATCTCTTTGGAGGTTTGGTTTTAAGGAGCCTCTCACAAAATCCAGTCTGCTGCCCAGGATCACAGCCTTCCTGAGCTTAGTCCTTGAGTGTATTCACCCCTACCCATGGAGACTCCCAGCCTGCTTCATATACATAAGATAAACACAAAGGAGAGGCGAGTTGGGGTCCCTTCCACCCTTCTGACTCTAATGCCCCTGGGTGTGTCTGTTTCTCCTGTTTCATGAGGCCCAGCGTAGGTCCCTCAAAAATGGGTACTGCTGGGATGTTGTCATTGTTTTTTTGGTTTTTGTTTCTTTTTCCTCCTGATCTCTTAAGTTCCAGAATTGCCATTCTGGCAGTGCACTTGTCCCAAGATGGCTCCCACTCAGCTCTCCACAGCCGGTTGACATATAAAGCATGATTTTTAAGCACCAGCATGCAATGCAGCCTCTGAATCTGTTAAGATTAGGCAGCATTTTTTATCTCAGATTTCCTTCAGCTAAGTCTGTGTTTGTTCACTCTCCCTCTTGTCTGTGGTGAATCTGCACTGGTGGCCTCCAGGTTAGTTCCATGTAGCCTTCAGAAGCTATACATCCACTGTTTTGGCTCCATGCCATGGCACAACTTGGGATGTTGCTTTCCTTTACTCCGCCATCTTCCTAGCCTCCTCCGTTGTGACACTCTGGGACAAGAGAATGTTTTTAGTTTTCTAATGTTTTACTAAAATTTTTTTTCAAAAATATAAAACAGAAATGATATGCAAAACTTTTGGATTTTATGAGTGAAATAAATATTCTAAAGAATATATAGATTTCCATCTTGCAAATAGTTTCTCTAAAAAATAATTTGTGCTAGCTTCCAGTATAGTAATGGAACTATTTCTTAAGTTAATAGTGTTTTCCAAAGTTAAGAAAAATGATATACTCTTTAATCTGTGGCGGTTAAATGGCAGTGGGGGCAGTACACCTTAGGTATCTTAAAAATACCACATTTGTACCTTCTATATGTAAAAAATACATGATTGTTTCCATGAAATAAATTAATGCTGTTACAATTAAAAATTTAAACTCTGAAACTTTCCCTACGATTTTATATGTAGTTATAACCTTAACTGAGATCAGTTACTGTGATTGAATCTGTCTTGACTCCTTTTTTTCCTCTTGTACTTTGGAAACTATCAAGAAACAGCAAAACTCAGAAATCAATAAACCTTATGTATGCATAGTCAATTAGAAAGTAAGAATAGAAGAAAAGTTTTTGTTTACAATAGCAAAAAAAAAAAAAAAAATTTAAATACCCAAGAAAACAACTAAGAAATACATAAGATAAACTAGTTTTCAAAGTTCATCCTAAGTCACTCACATGATAATATCAGAACCCTATATAAGTACTAAAGAATCAAAATCTCTTGGGGTAGGTCTGGGAATCTGCACTTTAGCAAGCATTTACCCTGATTTTATTCACAGCTAAGTTTAGAAATCAATGCTTCCTACTAAAACAATAAATAAATATCTCTAAAACCCTATTAAGAGTATTAAAAAAAAAAAAAAAGACCTGAGTGGAAAATATGCATGTAAAGAGACACGGTACAATAAAGTTCTCAATTTTTCCTAAATTAAATATCAACTAATTCCAATTTGAAAAGATTTTTGTTATTGTTGTTACTAAGAGATAATTCTGAATTTCAAATGAGAAATAAGAGGAAAAACAACCAAGAAAATTTTGTAAGAGAACTGTAGAGGAGAAGGGCTCAGAAATTTGCTGACTTAAGACTTACTAAAAAACTGTAATAACTAAAAGGTTGTGTTACTTTTTCTTGACATTACACATGGATAAGTCTAGAAAATAGAACCCAAATTGCAGATGAAATAGAGATATATACACACGGAACTTTTATGAATGATAAAGTGATAAAAATTGAGCATGGTGGGAGGGGGCGCATATCTCTAATCAATGCTTGGGAGGCTGAGGCAATCGGATTGCAAGTTTGAGGCCAGCCTCTGCAATTAGTGAGACCTTGTCTCAAAATTAAAAATAAAAGGGTTCTGGATGTAGCTCAGTGGTAAAGCATTCCTGAGCTCAATCCCCAATACTGTAAAAAATAAATATATAAATAAATAAAAATAAAAACTGAATAGTAAAGGGACAATGATCAATTTCAATGGGAGATTTTAGTACTGTTCTTTTTAAAAACTGCTGACACAAAATGTGTTGTCATACAGCAAACTTCATCCCATTGGGACACACAAGCAGAATACACTACTTCCAACAGTGGTAAAATATACATTTTTTAAAATGTGCATATAGAACATTTACAAAAATTGGCTAAGTCACAAGGCAAGTCTCTTTGGATTTTAAAGGATCAACTAACTCATAAAAAGCATATAGAACATTAGCAATTAGTCTAGAAATAATAATAAAAATATAAAACTAGGAAATCTCATGTTCTTAAGATAGATGCTTGTAATCTAGGGTATATATAGGTCAAGGAAGAAATTGCAATGAAAGTTAACATTTTTGAACTGAATAACAACTGTATATTAAAACTTATATTATTAGCTAAAGCAGTGCCATGAGGAAAATTTATAGCTTACAATTCATGAATTAGAAAAAGAAGCAAGGTTGAATATCAGTCATTTATGCATGAACTTTAAGACATTAAGAGAAGAACAGAAAATTAAACATAAAAGGAAGTAATAAGGATAGTTAAATCAAATAAAAGTTAAATTGAATCAATAAAATAAAAAGAATCAATAAAACTGACTAGTGTCTAATAATATTTGAAAAAAGAAAGAAAACAAGAATAATCCAAGTAATCACAAATAAACATAAATATCAATACAAATTCCATAATCATTGAAAAGATGACAGTGAATTCTGCTATTTGTAGTAGTTGCCTGAGTTGTTTCAAAACAATTTCCTGTGAAGAACTAGAAAACAGGAAAAACCTGCATATTTTCTAGTCCAGAATTATCACCTGAATTATAGTTTTATATATCCACCATTGATTCAACATTATTTCTTGAATTTGATTAGGCATATAAAACATAACACTGAAGTTATCATCTCTATCAAATAGGCTAGGTAATTTCAGATCAATTTTCCCATTGAGAATGACTAAAAATGCTAAACAAAATATGAAAATCAGGGGCAGGATTGTGGCTTAGTGGTAGAGCGCATGCATGAGACACTGGGTTCGATCCCCGCAACACATAAAAATAGAAATAAATAAATGTATTGTGTCCATCTACAACTAAAAACAGTATTTAAAAATATGAAAATCACTGAAAGCAATGGAAAGCCATAATAGCACTGAAAATCTCTGAAGCCAACATGTAGGAGAGGTGGAAGTCCCTTCTCTTTGATAAGCCATGCACTCTAATTTTCCCCTAGTCTTTGCTTATTTGCTTTTCTGTTAGACTTAAGTAATTCACCCAGGGATTGGGATAATTCTAAACTTACTTCTGTTTCATGAGAAAGGGTCTGTTGTCAGTGCCTTGCACATATTCTTGAAACACTATCTTTTCAGTATGCTCTGGTCAGTTGTGTTTTAATATCTACATCTATTGCCTCAAGGCCTGTTCTAAAACTGCTGAATGCTGTACATCTGGCATTTCGGAAGTTCTTATTAATCCCCCCTCCCAAAAGCATTCAATCAATGTATTAGAAGTTATGACATAAATTAGAAGTTATTATATAAATACTCCTTTTCCATCTCCCCTTTAGTCAGGTAAATCTTAGGCTTTTAATTTTTCAAGAGTCCAGAGTGTCGCTGTTATATGAACCCCGGTTGCCCATTGTACTTTATTAAAAGCTTTTTTGGGCTGAGGATGTGGCTCAAGCGGTAGCGCGCTCGCCTGGCATGCGTGCGGCCTGGGTTCGATCCTCAGCACCACATACAAAGATGTTGTGTCCGCCAAAAACTAAAAAATAAATATTAAAAAAAAATTCATTCTCTCTCTCTCTCTCTCTCCTTCTCTCTTTAAAAAAAAAAAAAAAGCTTGCTTTTCCTTCTCGTTATTTTTCCCCTTTCTAACCATTATTCTCTACCTCCCAAATAAACTACTTGCATTCAGATCTTTTAATTATAGTCTGCTTTTATTAGAACCAAAACAAAAGAATAAGGTGTTTACTAGAGTCCCTGCCATGCACTCTAATTTTTCTCTAACTCTGCCTATCTCCTGAGAGCTCTGCCTGGCATCATAGCCACAAGTGAATTTGGCAGTTCCTTTAGAAAAGTGGTTCTAAGTCTATCTCATGTCTTTGGGTCTTCCACCTCTCCTGCATGTTGGCTTCAGAGATTTTCGATGCCGTTATGGCATTCCATTGCTTTCAGTGATTTTCATATTTTGTTTAGCATTTTTAGTCATTCTCATCAGGAGGATTAATCTGAAATTACCTAGCCCGTTTGACAGAGGTATAACTTTAGTGTTATGTTTTATATGCCTATTCAAATTCAAGAAATAATGTTGAGTAAGTAGTTGAATATATGAGTTTGTAATTCAGGTGACAATTGTGGACTAGAAAAATAAATTTGGAAACTATCAGTTTGTAGATAATATTTTAAAATATAACAGTGGATTACTTTAGGGAATGTGTGTTGATAACAAAAGAGATTTATTGAGTCATCTGTTGGGGAGACTGAAATACAGTATCTAGTTAGTTAGGAGAAAAGAAGGAAAGAATTATATACTGGAAACCAAGTTTACAAAGTGTAGATTAGGGCTGGGGATGTAGTTCAGTAGTAGAGCACTTGCCTAGCCTGTGTGTGTCCTGGGTTCAATCCTCAGTAACACACAGGCACACACACAAAAAAAGAAATTATAGATTAAACTTTTCACAGGTTGTATACATCATTAAATACAATATAATTTAAAGCATTTGAGGGTACAACTTTGGGGAATCAGCACACAGAAAAGACATAGTTCTTTAATTTTATCCATGTGAATAACAAAGTAGGTAGAAAATAAAAGTGCATATTAGCTCATTTCCTCTAATTTGGTATAAAATGCTTGCCCTGATTTTTGGTAGTACTGCCATAGTTTCTATTTACCACAGATTCAGGGCTGGAAAGAAGATTTTACCTATACTTGTGAAGAGAAATAATGAGAGTAAAGTAGGATTACTTCTTTTACTCTGAAGTAGGAGTTGATGTTGCCAACCTCTTGGTTTTAGTGTTTATAGGAAATAGTTACAAACAAGATTCATCAACTACTTATAATTCAAACATGAGTATACCTGGGTGCTATAGATTTTTTGAAAACCATCTTTATCTGTTCCAATTTTTCTATAGTGAGCATGTATTATTGGTATAATATAAATATTTATGGGTATTTATTCTAACTTAAAGAAATTCTCAACTAACCTATTTTTCAGAGAGAAGTTGCAGCAAATAGCCAGAATGGGGAGGAAATTGTTCCTGCTTTAACTTTACGTTTTTTGATAACACAATTGGAAACAGCACTTAGGAACATTCAAGCTACTAATTATACTGTAAGTATATTCCTTGAAATAATGGAACTTGGACAGCATTTATTTTTTTCAGAGCCTCAAAAAAATTTATTGTCCCATTGTCTCAATGTAATATCCCTACTTGACTTATATGCCCATATTAACAAGTCAGGAATTTAGAATTACCTCACAAAATTGATTTTTCAAGGCTATCACTTAAGTGATAGAAACATAGATTAAATAAAAAAACTGCAGATGAAGTGGACCAAAGCAGACTGTACAAAAAAAGCATTTGGGGGAATGTCACAAAAAAGACATACAGTTAGTCATCCATAGCCACAGGTTCAATAGATCTGAATTTAACCAACTACAGACCAAAAAGATAGTTAGGCCTATAATAGTTGTATCTGTATTTAATATGCACAGACTTTTTATCATATTATTATCCCTTAAACAATAGTGCATAATAACTAATTTTGTAGCATTTACATTGTATTTGATATTATAAGTAATCTAAAGGTGATTTATAATATGTGGGAGGATTTTAGTAGATTACATGCAAATACTCTATCATTTTTAAAAACTTCCTTTAGTGTAGATGGACACCATACCTTTTTTATTTATTTATATTTAGATGTGCTGAGGATGAATCCCAGTGCCTCACACATGCTGGGCAATAACTCTACCACTGAGCTACAACCTCAGCCCAATAGTCTATCATTATATGTAAGAGATATAGCATCTCTAGAAGGGGTAGGGTCCTGGAACCAACCCCTCATGATAATAAAGGACAACAGCAAGCACTGGACAATATTCTGTGGTAATACATGATAAGAACAAGTTTTACACATCTTAGAGAGTACCCAGGACAGTAAGCATGTGTCATTACACTGTATTACCAACAGGTACCTTTAACCTCTGCTTAAGAGTACTTATTTTTACTCATTTTGCCCATGATCATCTTAAGTGGACAGCATATTTTAATGCAGGAACATCAATGCATTTTTATTTAGAGGTGTAAGCCAATTTATCTTTTCCTCTTTTACCTCTAGAGAAGAGTACATAGAATTTATTTCCTTCCTTTATCTTACTTTCATATGTGACTGCATCTCTATAATGAACTTATTCTAGCTCTCTTTTCTACCAAAAAACTGTTTGAGTTATCAGAAACTGGAACTTGTAGAACTATGCTTTCCAAATTAGGAATGAAAAGTCATGAACTTCAAAAATAAGAATAAGGTGTTTACATAGAAAGACAAAAATTCCATGAATAAGGTGTTTACATAGAAAGACAAAAATTGCATGATGTCACTGATATGTGCAATCTAGAAAATGTTGAATTTGTACAAATAGAGAATAGAATAGCACTTTTCCAGAGGATAAAGAAGGGGAGATGGAGATATTGGTCAAAAAAAAAAAAAAAAGAGAGAGAATTTCAGTTAGGAGAAATAATAAGTTTAAGAGATATTATGCAACATTGTGGCTATAGTTAATAATGATGTATTGTATTTTTAAAAATGTGAATTAGATTTTAAGTCTTCTTATTACATAAAATGATAAATATGTGAGATCATGCATGTTACTTAGCTTGATTTAGCCATTCTGAAACCGGTTATAGCTGGGTACAGTGGCACACAACTGTAATCCCAGAAGCTCAGGAAGCTGAGGCATGAGGATCAAAGCCAGCAGGAGTTCAAAGCCAGCCTCAGCAAAGCAACTCATCGAAACACTGTCTCTAAATAAAATACAAAATAGAACTGGGGATGTGGCTTAGTGGTTTTGTCCCCTGAGTTCAGTCCCTGGTATCCCCCATTAATTTAGCCAGTTTACTTTACTACTACTACTACTACTACTAATAATAATAATAGTAATAATAATAAAAGGGCAATAAAATAAAAAATCAAATTTTTGGCATAACTTGGATCTGTAAAGTAAACTGAATTCTGCATATATGTAGAAAGATAGATTATGGTTATCTTCAAAAAAGTACTGTTTAAATGCCTAAAAGATAGTCCTAAAATAAAAGATTCCATATTATAAGGATGTACAAAGGGGTTAAACATTAGTCCTTATTTAGTACTTGCAGAAATAAAGAGATTCTAGATGTATTCAAAAAAGAATCCAAAGAAAAGGAAGTTTGCATCTTGATATCCCTAGGATGTGTATCTACTGCTGCTTGCTAATCAGATTGACAATCAATGAAGTATAACAGTATATAATGAACATTGTCCAAGTTTCTTCAAAGACGAATCTTGAACAGAAATAGGAAATGGAAGAGTTCCCTCTCTTGGTAGCACTTGTGAGCTGACTTTTATTAATGTTATGATCAAAGCAACCTACTGCTATATCCAAATTGTTCTCCTTGTCCTTGAAGACCATCAAGGAGGAGCAAGACCACTTTGTTTGTAAGAGGCAGCACTGGGTTGCAAGGGTGGAGTGTAGATGCCAGTCACATCTGTAGCCATTTGGTTCTAGTACTTCAAATCATCTTTGCTAACTGGGATAAGATAGGGAAAAAAGGGCAGAGGTAAGGTCATAAATGTGCTGCTTTTGAAATTTCTGGAGTTTTTTGCCTTCTGATTATAGTATTACCACAATTCTGCATCTTGTTCTCAAAAATGTTTTTATTTAGAATTGCGTGAGGCATAGACTTTGTTGTACAAAGCTGAGTTTTTTAAAAAAATTGCAAAATGATAACCACATTTATTTAGTGTTTACTACATGACAGCCAGTTTTCTGAGCACTTTGCAAAGATTAGTTTATCTACTCTTTGTAATTATCTTATTATTCCCATTTTTTTAGTTTAGGAAACTGAGGCATAAAGGTTAAATAACTTGCTAATTTCCAGGTAGTAAGTAGTGGAGTTAGTATACAATCCATATAGTGTTGGCTTCAGAGTCTATGCTCTCAACTATGACATTGTACTGACTCTTCAGAGATGGGAATTTTAAGGTGGAAACCAGTTAGAAAGTACAGGAAGTTCGTAAACTTATTTAGTCCATTGAAAACAAACACAACATCTGTTTCCACAACTTTTTGAAGCCAAACTTCTAATTCTCTTCATTTGTCTCACAGATACATACAGTTGGTCATAAGAAGTGTGCTAGGGTGAGGGAATACTGTTAGATCAGCATAAAAAGGAAGTTTATATCTTAACGGATGTTAATCATCCTTATACCTGGAAAAAACTTGTTTATGGTATGAGGCAACCCCCATTAGAACACTTCACATGACAGTTGTACAGAGTACAGTTGTACTCTTCAGTAAGTATAGAGTATAAGAGTAGTAGACTTAAAGGTCTTCAGAGAAACAGAACTAGTTTATGTTATATATACACACACACACCTAAATATGTATATACACACACACACATATATATATGATTTATTATGAAGAAAGAATGTGAATTTTATGTGTGTGTGTGTGTGTGTATACACACACATACATACATCTACAGCTGGAAACTCAGAACGAGGGGAGCCAGTAGTATAAATCACAGTCTAAGGGCAGAAAATAAGATGCGATGTCCTTCCTTAGACAAGTATACAAGAAGCAAAAATGGTGACTTCTTCCTTCTTTGGCCTTTTGTTCTATTCAGACCCTCAGTGTATTGAAAGATGCCTACCCATGTGTGGAGGGTAATCAGATACTAAGTCTATCAATTCAAAGGCCAATCTCTCTGAATACACCCTCGCAGGCACACCTAGAATTAATGTTTAATATGGGCTGCCTGTAGCTTGTCCAGTTGACATATAAAATTAGCCCTCATAAATAGAATGAAAAATATTTTTCTCCATAGATAATTGTTTTAACTTTTCATTTTAAGATAATTATAGATTCACAAATGTTCTAACTGTGTAATAAAAGGAGGTCTTAGTATATCCTTTAGCCAGTTTACTTCCAATAGTTATTACTTCCAACATGACTACAGTACATTATTAAAAACAGAAAATTTATAGTATTATGATAATGTTCTGTCACTGGTCTTTAAGACACCTTCATTCATGTTCAGAGACTTGCTACAAGGACTAGAGTCAGCATATTGTACTAATTGCCAAAGATTTATTACACTGTTGTAGTAAAGATCTATAACAGATCACAAGGGGAAAAGACACAGATAGAATCTCAAAGAATCTATCTGTAGGTTTCCCTGTGTTTTCTCCTGCGTGTAATCAGGGCATTGTATACTCTCCCTCTTCCCTCTCAACCCCAGCAACACAAATGTAGCAACATCTGTATTGCTTCTGCCAGGGGTAGTCCATTAGAGATTTAAGTGTTCCACATTTTTATTGGTTGGTTATCTGGGGGATCCTTTGCCTGGTATGTATTAAAATTTCAAATTACCAGAAAAAATTCCCAGATTTTCAGCATAAATCTCATTATCATCATAAATTTCAGTTCAAACAATTGAAGCCCAGCAAGCCACCTTCAACAGCTAGAAAATAGTGGGGGAAAAAAAATGAAACCCAAGTTCCAATACAAAAGCTAAGGATCAACCTTATAGGCAGGCCTTAATAAGGATATTAGTATCATGCCAGCTATGTTGATTATTTTATGCACAGGCACGTATAGTTCTATGACATTTTATCACAAGTGTGTATTTGCATAATCATTATCCTAGTGAGTTCATGCTACCTTTGTAGTTACGCCTTTCCCTTCTACCTTGCTTCCTTCCCTTATCTTTAAACTGTCTCCATCTCTGAATTTTGAGTAAATGGTGTTTAAATGAAGTAAATATCCACACATTTAAAAATTTTCACTGAAGAAATGATAAGCTTTATTTTTATATTTTTAAAACAAAACCAACATGTGGAGAGTAAAGGATTTTGATGTCAGAGATGATTGAATTTTTTTCAGATAGGTGTTAGATACTTGCCTGTTCATTATTATATTATTTCCTAAAGTATTCTTGATACATAAAATATAGAATTTTAAAAAAATTATGAATTACATTTGCTTTTATTTTTTAAAATTTCTCTTCTTAAATCAAATTATCAAATTGATCTAAACATGCATACTCTATAGTTTGGATTATATAATTCACAAAATAATAATTCTTTACATTTTTCATAATTATTAAGTAGGCCAAGGATATTTAATTAAACTTGTATACCAAGAAGTAGCTTGGTCTGTATAACCAATTAACATATATTTTTTTTCTTTGCAGGCATACCAAATTAATATTGGTTATTATTTGACATTACTGTTTTTATATGGAGTAGCACTCACTGAAAGAGGAAAGAAAGAGGTATGTAGTGTGTGTTATTTGCCCATTATGTTAACTTTATTTTAGCAAATTAAAATGCTGACTTTTAAAACTTCTCTAGAAATTGAAACCTTTCATTGCCTTTTTTGACATGTATTTATACTGCCCTAACTTTACCTTTTTTAAAGTGATTTTTTTAGATGCTTACCATTTGTGTAAAATAGAAAATTGTTTTGCTGCTTTAACTTGTACAGCACATTTTAATTCATTTGCTAATATGCCTTAATCTCTGTGTTCTTAATCTTACCCCTTTTGTAAAATATGAGTTCTACCTAAAAATGTTTTGTTAAATAAAGTGCAAATAAATAAAAATTGGGGAGTTAACTAGAAAATTTCTAAAGTTTCCTTCAAACTTAACATTTTCTTTTTTTTCACTGATTTTTAATGTTTTCTTTGCAGCCTCGAGATTTCTTTCACTTTTTTTTCCTAAATGGGTATTTTTTACATGATATCATAAACATATAAATATGACATTAGGTGAAATAGAATTTTTTTAAGTATACAAACTGAGGACATTTCTATTTTAAATAATTTCATGTAATACTAATTATCATTCTGTCTGATATACTAGAGAACATTTTTAAACAAGGCTTTGAAGGATTTTTTTCTGCTTGCTTTTTCCAGACCATTGCTATTATACCTGTTTTATTATTTATAGCTAAAGCATCTTTTGGAATTTATCCTGATCTTTACCTCCAAATCTGTATTGCTTATGATCTATCTGGTGCTTTCCCAAATGAGATTATATCTATGGTCAATGAGTCACTTCTTTCCAGTTTGAAAAATTAGAATTCTGCTATAATTAGAAGGAAACATTAAGAATGACAGAGAATTATGCTCCAGTAGTGATCAGAAAAACACTTATTTTGACTAGTAATATTTTCCAATTTCAAATACAAAAATTGTTATGTAACTTTCACTTTGAAACACTGGATAAAAATGTTATGATTAGAGATATTGTATTCATTCATAAATATTTTAAGTTCTGAATGCATTGTCTTTGTGATCATATACATAGATGGTAAGATTGAAGTTGTAAATAAGTGAAATGATTGGATCATCCTCAAAAATGCCTAATTTCTCCAGTTTGGGAAATAATTGTTTATTATAAAAGAACGAAATTCTTTTCACATCAGCCAAACCAGTTTTATGTCACTACAGGATTATACAGAAGCTGAGAACAAATTTCTGGTGATGAAGATGGTAATTCAAGAAAATGAAATTTGTGAAAACTTTATGTGTTTAGTTTATTTTGGACGTGGTTTACTTCGATGTGCACAGAAGAGGTAAATATTTTAAATAGTGGATAGATCTTTCAGCATCATCAACTTTTAATTTGTGAAATGGAAATAACATTTACACAGTATGTCAGGCATCATAACATTGTGAACTCATACTGCTTTGTTCTGTCTTCATCTTTTCCTATAGAAAATAATTTATTTAATATACTTGAGAATATTAAATACCAAACTTAACACACCATGACAATAAGAGGAACTCTGACGTTGACATTAGCAACACAAGCTTTGGAGTCTGACAAACCTGCATTCAGATGCATTTTCTATCACCCTGAGAAACTTAATGTTATTAAGGCCTATCGGTTTTTTCTTATCTCTAAACTAGAAATAATATAGTGTTCACCTCATAAGGACGTTATAGGTGATGAACAGTGCCCAAGACACAAAAAATACAATACTTAATAAATGAACAGTGGTTGTAGTTATTAATGTTACCATTGACTTAATGTTTTCAAAATATAAGTAAACTTGTAAAGAATTGAAAGGGTACAAGTGCTAAGTTTGGGGAATGTTTTAAATGTTTACATGTTTTTTGGAAAGTGAAATTGTACAAAGGAAACTATATAGATTATCCGTTGTTTTTTGGAAAGTGAAATTGTGCATAGGAAACTATATAGATTATCCGTTCATTTCCTATATGGATATCTTTAGCTTTTGTAGCATCTTTCATTCATTTTATTTACCACGCATCTGTCGTATTCTAGAAATTGTGCTAGGTATTAAGAGTATAGTAGTTTAAAATGGTCTTATTTTTATGTAACTGACAGTATGGTGAAAGATATAGACCTTAATTAAATACAGTTATAAAATATTCAATTATGAAATGTGATAAATGGTGAAGGGCTATGAAGGAAAACATAATGAACAGTCCAAGTCTTTACTGGAACTCCAATTTGGTTCTGAGAACTGGAAGTCTCCACTGAGGAAATTGTGGTTCAATGAGATCCGAGGGATGAATTAGGGAGTTTACTTAAGCAAACCCCTGTAAGGGACTAGGCCAAATAATTGGGTTCTTTAAAGTGTCTCCTGTGTGGTATTTTTTGGTTCTATATAAGGTTTATCTACTATTCACTGGCATACCTGTTTTTCACTGGTGTATCCAGTAGACTTCTCATTTCCTACTTACTATATCTGATTAGCATGATGCCATCAATGTAGTGGGCTAGTGTTATGCTTTTCAGAATTTAAAGATGATCAGAATCTTTTCAGCCTATATTGTGACAGAATGTAAGAATTAACTGTAGTCTAAGACAAGACAAAGAATATGTACTGGTTTATTTCCCTTAGAATGCAAACTACTTTTTATTCTCTTTACTGATGGGCAAAGGAGGAAATCTATTTTCTAGACCATCATTAATAGAAAACACAGTTGTATGGCAGCATCATTATAGAGGACAACCACCACTGAGTTTCTCAAGGCACTGGTGCTTTTCTTAACTCTTTTTCCTGCATTAATGAAACTAATGTCTTCTCTGAGCCTTTCCATGAACATTATCTAATAACAGGTTCTTTCTGGATTTTTATATTGTGTGTGGGTGTTGGGGGGCAGAGTTTGAGGGGAGAGAGAGAAACAGAGAGAGATATGTGCTGGGGATTGAACCCAGGGCCTCATGCATGCTAGGCAAGTGCTATTATCACTGAGCCACAGCCATAGCCCAGGTTAAGTCCATTCTAACATTCTTACCTCCGCAAGCCTCCTGACTCTTTCAGTAATCTGCCAAAAAATGCTTAGCATTTCTTCTTCATTTACTGTAGGCCATCATTCAAATTTTTAGGAGCCTCTCAACAGCATGTCAGGACTGGCTTCAGGTATCCTTGCTAGGAAAGTAAATTTTAAATTCTGTAAGAGTTGTCCCATATCAGTATACAATCCTCTATCCAGCCCATTGGCTTTGCTTTCTTGAGATCTACTCCCACACTTGTTTTTGCTTAAATGTGCATACCTGTAGGTTCTGCAATTCTTAGAATCTAAGTTTTTTATTCCCAAGACCTTTTTATTCCCGAGACCTTTTTATTCCCTTTTTGACCCTTTTATATTTGACCCTAGATGTACTAGTCTGAAATTAGTGACTATAGGGTGAGGAATATATTGAGAAGGAAGGCATCATCCTTTGAGACTTGTGTCTCTCATGTTTTTGTATAGTTTGTAAGTTAAAGGGGGCTGTTGTCTTTTAGCAAAAAACCGGTCTTTGCCAGTTGGATGATTCAGTCAGAATTTAGAGAGTCAATGTTTCTGAGCACATTCCATTAAATATCCTCATTTTAGATTTTGCAGAATCCTCTCATTCCCCACAAAAGCCCTGACCTAGCAAAGTAGTCCTGTTGTGGCTATGCATTTGATCTTTTTTTTTTTTTTTTTTTTTTTTTTAGTTCTACCCTTGTAACTAAATCCCAGGCCTTATTTGCAGCATAGTCTACCCTTATCTCTAGAGGAGATGAGAATTCTTTAAATGTTTCTATCTTCTAGTTTTATAGTGTACTGAGTTGATAGCTGCAGTCTGTAGAGGCTTATATATTAGGTCTTATTTGCAGTTTATTCCATTTTAGGATTAAAATCTGGCCCTTTTAACACAAATTATCTTTATGGATACAGAAGATTAAAATCTCTTTAAATGCTACCTTAGAGTCTTCTGGCTTTCACAGTATATTCTGGGATAATAATTGGCTGACCAGTGTCTGTCTCTTTCTTCAGGGCCTACAAGAGAGTTAAAAAAAAAGCCATCCAGTTAACAAAGCTAACCTCTTTTTACTATGGCTCCCATACTGTTAAAGCTTGAGCCACTACATAATCCATTGCCTCCCCTTCTATCTATATTTCAGCCCAATCTTCCACAGGTGAGAGTCCTAGAATTTGCATGACAGAGGTTATTACAACCCTACTTACCACACAAACTTGATAACTTGTTATGTCATTTTTAAACCATACAGTATTAGAGTTTCATTCAAACTAACCTATTTTAAAATGCCTTACAGATATAATGGAGGACTGCTAGAATTTCATAAAAGCTTACAAGAAATAGGAGATACAAGTGATCATTGGTTTGACATAGATCCTACAGAAGATGGAGATTTACCTACAACTTTTAAAGTAAGAAATTATTTAGGAATAACATTTCATTTCACTGATTGGAATCATGTTTGGTAAATTTTATTTAAAAACTACATTATATTCTATGGCAAACCCTCTTTTATTGAAAATTACCTTTTAAGAAACAACTTTGATTTCATTATCTGTTCTATATATAATGTAAGTATGATTCATCAAGTACAGAGCAGCAGCATTTTCCACAACAGGAAAGTTAATATCCGTACTAGTCTAGTACTTCATGAATAGAACTAAATGTAATAGATGGCATTATTTTTTTCTAATTATTTATTTTTTGTTACCTAACTTAAATTGTAATGCACTAAATGCTTTGTTCAGAAAACTTGGAAAATGTAAAACTATCCAAAGATAAAAGTTAAATTCACATGTATTTGTTCAGTGGAAAAACAATTGTTAACATTTTCATTTATGTCTATTCACATATATACATATATATATGCATATAAACACATATCCTTTATTTTTTTATACCTTTATTTTTGCTAACTTGGCTATATTATATTCATATATTTGTAGCCTGGAAATTTATAGTGTTTTAATTTTCTAGTAATTATATTCTTATATAATATGATTTTTGCAGTTCCACCTTAATTAACTTAACCATTCCCTGCTATTAAACATTTAGTTTGTCCTAAACGTTTCAATTTTTAACTCTTAATATAAAGTGATCTTTGCATATTTCTCACATCATTCCCTTGGAATAAATTTTCTAAGTTTGAATTGTAAAACAAGTGTTTACACACTTGTAAAGTTGTTGATAATATATTCCTATATGCTCTTTCAGGAAATTGTGCCAGTTTATAGTCTTAAGACAGTGTAAGAGTCCCAGTCCCCCGAACTTTTATTCTTTTTCTTTTGGGTAATTTTTATTCAAAGCCATGTAGGTCTCTTTTTAATTTACTTAGTATGAAAATAGCTATACCAGGTTCTCCTGGTTAATGTTTGAATGGAATGTGTTTTTCCAAGCTTCTACCTTTAAACCTTTTTGTAGCCTTATATTTTAGTTGTCTTTAAGGCCAAAAATATTCCTTAAACTAAACAGGGACATTTCATTTTAAAAAAATGAGATTAGATTATCCTGGAAGCTAAACAATTCAAAATTTATATATACCTAGTAATATAATCCCAAAATATATAGGACAAAAGTTGACAACTGAAAGGAGAAATCAAAAAATCCCAGTCACTGTGGGTGTGTGTGTATCTGTGTACACCCAAGGTCTCACACATGCTAAGCAAGCACTGTACCACTGAGCTACATTTCCAGCCTACAATGGAATATTTTAATATACCTTTTTCATTATCAATAGACTTCATAAATGGCCTTTGGCATTGTCGTGATAAACATATGAAGTTTAACTTTGAATTATTAATTAGCAATAATTTTGTATACTTTTTAGGTATTAAACTATATCACCCTAAAGCATTCCCAGCATAATCTTTACTGTTTGTTTTTCCTTCTTTTAAAATAATCTTCTATATTATCCAGATTATGGTCAGTGAATTTTTATATTATGCAATGTAATACAATATATGCAGTTTGACAAAAAGTTAAGAGTTCTTGCTCTGCCATCTCTAACTACAATTCCTGTTCCCTATATTTGACTCCTTCTAAGTTTCTAGTCATTTTCTTTGTTTTTTACATATTTTTCAAAGAAAGTACTGCTATTTAAAAAAATTTGTCCATTTTAGGTTTTATTTTGACTTTCCACTATAAAGGGTTAGCCCTCTTATACAAAATACATCTCTTTGACTCTTACGCACATACACAAACACACAACAGCTCCCATCTTACTAGTAGTTTTAAATTTTTATTAAATGTCCTTATCCTAGGGATTTCCTTTACCTCTCTCCTGTGTAGAATCTTTCATGTGTCAGAACTCAAGTTTTCTCTTTCTACTTTGCTCCTGGTTTTGGTGTTGCACCTCCTGCAGCAGCTTTCCATAGAAGAGTGCTTCCTTAGGAAGTAAATTTTTTAAGAACTTTAAGTCTCAAAATAATTTATCCTTTGTACACTTTACTTATATCTGGTCATAGAACTATAGGTTGAAAATAATTTTACTTCATTTTTTAGAAATGTTTTTCTGTTATCTTCTAGATTCTAGTATTACTTTTGAGAAATCTGATGTCATTCTGGTTTTCAGCCTTTTACATGTGACCTGTTGCATTGTCTTCTTTCCATTTTCTTTCTGAGGGTTTTTGAAGGATATCTTGTGTATCCCCAGTGTTCTGAACTTATGTTTTTGGTTCTGAAACATTTTCTTGATTTATGTATATGATAATTTCTTTTTAGTTTTCTCTTATTTCTGCTTATTATTCATATACTCTGTATATTGAACCCATTAAATAATATTTATAATTAGATACAGAATTTCTAATATTGTATTTTTGTCATTTTACCTTCTTGCAAAGATTTTCAGCTTTATCTTCCTGAATGACTGATATTCATGAAATAATCATATGCTCTCAGAAAATTAGCAGTAATACTATTTGAAATGTTCTAATACCATCCCTCTAAAGGATAAGTGTTTATGACCTTATTAATTAAGACCTGATAATGTGTTTTTCACTTATCAGCAATTTTAAAATTAGAAATTGTATTTCAAGTTGTAACTCTTGGCAGTTGAAAGCATATTTTTGTACTGTACTTTTGCCAGTGTCCTAGGGCCCAATTGTGATATTGAGATATATTTTATATATATTTTATTTATATATATAAATATATGTATATATAACATGTAATTTCTTAAGCAAGTAATTCTTGATAGGAACATGCCAAGTGTTTTACTATAGGTTAAATGGAAAAAAGAAATATAGCTTCAAACATATATTTTTCTCCTTTCTCCATGTTTCTATCACTCTGTAAAATTCAGTATTTACAGTTTTGTTTACTTTTCATGTAGGAAATACGTTCTCTAACTATTTTTAAAATGCAGATCCTTCAAAAGGGAATATGATATGGACACATTACTTAAGGAAAACTTTGGAAATATTGTTATTTTAATTTATCATTATTCATGAGAATATTTTTTATTTTGAAATCTAGGATCTTCTCAATAATTTTATCAAGACAACTGAAAGTAATATAATGAAACAGACCATTTGTAGTTATCTAGATTGTGAACGATCTTGTGAAGCTGACATTTTAAAGAACACCAATTATAAGGTACCATATTTAATACTTTACTGAGTATTTTAATGTGATTATAAAATTAACTTAGATGAAATTATTATATCATTATGTTCTGAAATATTATTTTAAAAGAGTTTTAACTTAATTACAATGGTCATGCAGTTGAGAAGATGTTTCATTATCTCTGAGAATTTCAATTCAGAATGAGCAATAATTATTCACAATCTGTACGTTAGTTAAAAAATAATTAGTTTTGTTAAGATTTTTATAACACATACCTACAGAATTGTAACTATTATTCCTGTTATCGTACAGTGAAAATGATCTAGAAATTCTTTTTACTTAATAGTTAGAAATGTTAGAAATCGAGAACAGGAGCATTTTACTAAAAAGAAAAGTTGTCACTCCTCAGTAATTATGATATTAAATAAGTTCTCATTACCTCTTCAGTAGGCCTTCTAGAAGGGAAAGGAATGAAACTCTTTGAGTTTTAACTTGAATAAATTCAACAGTCAGAATACTTCTGATAGATCTCTCTAAATCAATCAGAATTAAACTACGTGATATCATAAGATGGGAGAAGAAGATTGATTATCAGTGCAAAATCAAACACCACTTCTGTAAGATAATTGCAGTCTCACTTGCAAGGAATGTTTATAACAAATGGAGAAGGTGGAGAAAAGAAGGCCAAGATATTTCCTTACGATAAGACAGGGATTGATAAGTGGGCTAGGTGAGGTAGAGTTCTCAAAACAAAGCATGTTCCGTATTGGTTTAGGTAACATGGTACTATGGTGCTGAAATTTCCTAGGAAAGCCTGGTAAAATAAAGTCCTGGACATGCAGCTTCAATATTTGTAATATAAGCAGAATTCCTACATAAGGAGAAATAGGGCTATAGTTCCCAGGGAGAGCATATAGGAAGGACAAACATATCCATACCTGTGATAACATAGTAGCCCAGGAACTGTCACTATGGAACAAATCTGGGGTGCAGTGATGAGTTATATAAAAGAGATTCAAGGAATAATGGTATGGAGTTGGAGCTGGTAGAAAAGAAGATGTAAAAATGAAGATGATCTGGGATCTACTTATTTTCCTTGTTAGAGGTTACTCTCTGGGTTCTGTTATTTTATTGTACATAGAATATGGAAAATATTACATTGACCTGTTCAAATCATTGCCCTATTTAAACTGTCTTTATTGTAAAAATGACATGTAAAGTTCTTCAGTGATCTCTATAGGTAAATTTTGAATGCCGTGCAAAACTCATTATGATAAAGTACTTTTAAAAGTAACTTGAGGAGTTTGCATTTTTTGTACTTACATGAATTACTACTTATTTCCATATCAATTGCTTATTTTTATTTTTTCCAGGGATTTTTTCAGTTAATGTGCAGTAAAAGTTGCTGTGTTTATTTCCATAAAATTTGTTGGAAAAAGTTCAAGAATTTAAAATATCCAGGTGAACATGATCAGGTATATTTGCTTTTCTTTCTTAAAACTTTGCTATAGCACTTCTTCTTCCCTTTCCCATTTTGTCTTCATTCTATTTATTTCTTCCTATGTATATTTTCCCTGTTTTTTCCTCTCTCCATTTTCTTCTCATTTCTCTCTGATGCTTATCTTCCCACCATTCTTCATCCCTCATTATTATTTATTAAATAGCTCTTTGTAGCAGGTATTCTGCTAGTTGTTTTGCCTAATTATTTCTAACAATTCATTTTCTTGCCTCTAGATGTTTATACTCAAGAATAGAAATATTGTTCCATATATTCACATAAAGGATATAAAATCAGAGTAGAACTGCTTAATAAATACACAGGATAATTATACAATTTTAAGAATAATTTCTTTTTGGGGCGTGGTATTTGAACCCAGGGGGACTCAACTACTGAGCCACATTCCCAGCCCTTTCTATTTTTTATTTTGAGACAGGGTCTCACTAAATTGCTGAAGAGCCTTGCTGAGTTGTTGAGGTTGGTTTTGAACCTGTGATCCTCCTGCCTCAGCTCCCAAGATAAGCCACTGGGATTATAGATGTGCACCACCATGCTCAGTGATAATTTATATTTTTAGGCATTGAGAACAAGGACAAATTTGTTTTAATATTTGGATTTGTTTATATTTAGTTTCTACCCATATCATACTCCTCTTTCCTACTAAAATTGAAGTGGAATGCCATAACACAATTCTGTATTTTTCTTTAGTGAGTTAATGACCATAAGTTGGGTCTTAATTTTGATTCTGTAGGGTTTATATTGTGCAAACAGTAAGAAAACCTTATAAATTGTGGTGTATTATAAAAAAAAAAACTGGATATAGACTTGGGAAATATGGGTTCAACTCCAGATTGAGACACTTATTAATTTTATTACATTTGACTGGTAATGTAGCCATTCCAAGACAAATTTTTTTAAGTTCTAAAGGATAAGGTAAACCTATTTCATAGGGTTATTGTGAGGAACTGACATTATAAACTGTACAAAGAATTATATAAGGCACTGCTATTCATTTTTAAGTGGTATTTAAATACTTCTTCAATTTCTTTTATTATTAGGACCATTAATATTGCTCAATCTTAAAAAGAGAAGTAAAAGAAATGTAAAACTAAGCCAGAGATAATGGCAAAGTCAGAATCAGAGAAAAGAATGATGCAACATTTGTATTTTTCTGTTTTCTCGGGAATCTTTGAGTATCTGGTAATTCTGTATTCAGTAAGAAATTCAGTATTCTTTTATACTTCCTCAATTAGAACATTTTACATAAAGTTGCTTTCCTTGGAACAGCAAATACATTTTAGGCTGTAATATAGCTCTTTACACATTTGGAAATAGAAATGACTAGAAAAGAAAGTGAAACCATACATCTTAAATAGAGTATTTGTTGATATGAAATAGATTATCTGAACAATTCCCAAATGTTTATTCACTTGTTAGTTTACTATTTGGCAACAAGTGCTTCTACCTATTTATTTAAATTTACTCACATTTGCACATTAGTGATTTTTATTTTTTTTCTATTAACTTTAGAGTTTTAGTGGGAAAAAATGTTTGAAGGAAGGATGTACAGGTGACATGGTAAGAATGCTACAATGTGATGTACCTGGCATTGTTAAAATTTTGGTGAGTATCTTCTAAAACTTTTCTTGGTTTCCTTTACAAGAATAATATTTTTTGATTTGAAACAGATTTTGTAATCATAATAGAATCCTAGTCATATTTCTTTGCCATTTCTATTCATGTGATTTATGTGAAGTAGTATTTAAGTGGTCTTTAAGAATAAAAAAAATTTAAAAATAAGGATACAGAAACATGAGAACAGATGAATATGCCATGTGCATATGAATGAGGGAAAGTATCATCAACTAGGAATTATAATGTATTTACTTCTTTGCTACCTAAAGTTAAAAATAATTTTACTTTCTGAAACTCTTATAGTCTGTAAATATCTTCCTATGAAAATATCTGTAGAGCAACCCCTATAGTAGTACTTGTCACAGTGCACACAGATGGTATACATTTTATTTTTAATTAATGAAATATCTTATTGAATTATCTGTTTATAATAATTATGACAAATTTGAATAGAAATGAATCTCATTTACTTCTTTACCTTTAGATATGTATTTTTATTTTTCAAATTTGTCATTTAGATTGTGTAGTGATATAAAGTTGAATTTGTTTTAAAGACAACTCTAATTTGTTGTTTCAACAGGACCATGTATTGCTCACCTTTCAGTTACATTTTCTTTATATTCACTATGGTTTTACTCTGATTGTCTCTTTTCAAGTGTTAAGGCTAAGAACTAACATTAAAGAATTTTGGAAACTGAACTACTTTAGGGCTACTTTTTTTTTTCCCATCATTTGCAGTTTGAAGTTGTGAGAAAGGATGAATATATAACCATTGAGAATTTAGGAGCAAGGTAAGCTTGAAAGAAAATTTTCTCTTACTTTTTTCTGAATATGTATGTGTTTTTAGTTGCTGCTTCTGTGCTATGTCACCTGTTAGAAAGAACACCATTATGTTTTAAGGTAGTATTTAGATATATGAAAAAGTCGTATTGAATTGCCTTTTGTTCCCCCTTCTATGCTCACTGCTGTGTGCATTTACATTGTAAAGCAGGGAAGGATAAATTATGTGGATACTTTTCTCTTGAGAAAATGAAACATGTTTTTCTTAAAATTAACATTTAAGTTTGTTTGATAATAATCTTTCTTCAAAGCTCATCTAGACCTCTAAGCTGATCTCACAATTAGACTCTTCCTGGTTCCTTAGATGAAAAAGTATTTTAAAAAGCTGAATACACACGCACACATTTTTTTTAAGCTAGAAATTCATAGAGGTATAGAGAATTGCTACTAAAATGAAAAATTCCAATATAATGTTTTTCAAATTCACTGATTCTCTTTTTCTTTTATTTAAAGTATAAAACAATATACCATTTCAGTCTACCCAGATAGATATCAAAGGCAATATTTTCACTTATGAGTTAATGAAACTCAAATCTTGTCTAGCACAGATAACTCTCCTAAAATCTTAACCTTTTTATCTGTCTGCATCCCAAGAATCTCTACTTTTATTTTTCATAAATGTCTATACTCAACATGCCCCAAACTGAACACTTGATCTTTTTATCAACACTGCTCTTTAACTCTTAAAAGTCCTCTAGCAATTTGACTTCTTAATATATTATAACTTTTTCCTTATTTCTGCCCTGCCTGCCCCCTTTAACTAAATTAGATTATCATTGTTTCTTATTTGGAATTCTAAACAGCTTCTTAACAGGTTTGTTCCTAGCCTTGCCTTTCTCTAGACTGTTGTTCACATAGCTGTCTGTAGGACTTTTCTAAAATAAACATTGAAATACATCACTTCTGTGATAGCAAATCTTTCATAATCTTCTCATTGCTCTTAAAATTTAAATTCAAATTCCTTAGCCTGGCTGTTCAAACATTTTGGACCCTGCTGAACTCACTAGTGTCATCTCTTGTTATTCTGCTAAATTTATAGTTATATACTGTGTATTAACTATACTGAGCTTCTTTTAGTTTCTTGGGTGTGCCATCTCAAGCAATGTCCAGATTTTTATTTGGAAGTAAAAATGTTTTACTATTTTATGGGCCTTGCATGGAGTACTTTGCTTCTTTGACTTTCCCTATTTAAAACTACTGGATAGCCTTACTTAGATGAAAGTAGGTGTTTCTATCATGTATTGCTGTTACTTCTGTCAAAACATTCACAAATTTATTACACTTTCTTGCTATCTTCACCCTTTGACTGTAACATCTGTGAGGGCAAGAACTATATCTTACTGATATATTCTCAGCACATAACTTAAAGCCTTGCATATAGTTGGTACCAAGTAAATGCATAATAAATGTAGAGATTCTGAATTCCATTATTCTCCAGTGAGTAATTTACTTTTGTTTTGCTAGGCAGTTCACTTGGCTGGTTGTAAACTGTGGACTTTTTTTTTCTTGGAAAATGGTTCCAGTGTCAGTCCAGATCTTTTGCCATTAACTGAACTGCTTTTGGTTTGTTCCACATTTAGTCAAACCCAGGTGTAGGATAATGGCAGTCAAGATTTGGCTAGATATTTGGAGATATCTTCTCTTTCTATCTCTTCCTTCTTGTATTCTCTCATTTCTTCAGTGGACGTAGTTCCACGGGTTCAGTTTTCTGATGTCTTTGGACAGAGAATTTGGATCTGTAGTAATATACCACCTTTTTCATTTCTGATGTTGACAGTATTTATTTTTTTTTTTTGTCTTTATTTTCCTGACCATTTTCACTAGAGATTTATCAATTGTGCTAATCTTTTTAGAGTCAGTTTTCATTTCACTGATTTTTCTCTTACACATTTTTATTTTCAATTTCACTGACTTTTGCTATTTGTTATTTCCTTGTTCTGCTTGTTTGGGTTTTTAGTTTGCTTTTCTTTTTCTTAAGATGAAAGTTTTTATTATTGAATTCAAGATAGTTTTCTTTACAAACTGATTTTACATTAAGTACTGCTTTAAATGTGTCCCATGTATTTTGGTACTTAAAAATTTATGATTATTATTATTTTCATTAAATTCAGAATGTATTCTAATTTCCTGTGTGTGTGTACCATGGTTATTTGGAAATAATGTTGCTTAATTGCCAAGTATTTGGGAAATATTTTAGCTGTTTCTCTACATATTGGTCTGTTAGAGTCTCCCACTCCTGCCGTATCAATGTACACAAGTTGCTCGTCACCCCCCGGTTATTTTGCTGCAGCCGGACTGCGGCATTGGTCCCTACTTTTAATTTTATGTGATTGCAGAATATATTTTCTAGTTCTATAGTTTTTAATTAATTTGTGGGGTTTTGCTGTATGAGACATAATATTATATATTTTTATGAATATTATATTTGCATTTGCAAGCTGCATTCTGTTCTTTTTATGTGGAGTATTCTCTACATTAGACAAAGGTATTTTATAGTTTCATTTCAGTGTTCTATATCATTAATAATTACTTGTTTACTTTTTTAGTTCCTTAGGGGAAATATTGAAGCTGCTGTTGTTATTTTATCTTTTTATATTGTCTGTGTATTTTGAAGCTTTTTTTTAAATGCTGTATATACATTTTAAGATTTTCTTGATGATTTGATCTCTTTACTGTTATATAACATTCTCATTGTCTTTGCTAATAATCCTACTTTAAATCTTTGTCTGATATTAGCTACTCCAGCTTACCTTTTTTAAAAATTTTCTTTAATCTGTATACTTGTGATTTTTATTTGTGTGGCATATGTGTTTGTATTCATATATATATGTATATATATGTTATTATATTTTAAGTTAATTTTTTGTTTTCTTGGTAGATGGCATAGGTCTTGCTTTTTGTTGTTGCTGTTTTTGATATCTCATCTTACATTCTCTGCCTTTTAAACTGGAGTTTTTATTCCATATAAATTTTCTAATTATTTATATGATTGGATTTAAATCTACTATCTTATTGTTTTCAGTTTTTTCTTTTTGCTGTTTTTCTTTCTTGGTTTGGTTATTCGTTTTATCTTTTCTCCCACAGTAATTTTTCCAGGGTTTATAATATATATTTTCAACTTACCATGTCCATTTTTAAATATTATACTACATCATATATAGCATAAAAATCTTAACATAATATCTTCTTACATTTTGTGCTATTGTTTTTAATTTGTTTCATCAGCATTTTTATAAATTCCACAATATATTGTTACTTATAAGATAATTTAAAAAGTTTTGAACTTCATATATTTGGAAAATTTATGTTTTATGCATTTTAAAGCTATATGTTTATATAATTTAATCTTATTATTACTTCATTTCATAGTTCTAACTTTATGTGTAGCCATCACAGTCATTCTACTGTTGGCAGCTATTTGTGTTATATCTAATTTCAGACTATAACATTAGTGATACAAATGAACATTCTTGTACAAGTCTCCATTTTTCAGAATATATATATATATATATATATATATATATATATATATATATATATAATTGGAATTGCTAGTCCATTTGTGTATATACTCAACTTTATTAGATCTTGCTGAACTGTTTTCCTCAGTGGTTTTACTGTTTTATACTCCCTACCAGCAGTCTAGCAGAATTCCTTTTACTTATTGTCTTAGCCAATACTTCGAACAGAGTTTTAAATTTTTTCAGTGTTGTGGGTGATTGGCAGTGTTATAGGTGATGCTGTAGATAAGATCAATTCACAGCGGTCAGTAGCCACACTAAACTTTCTGTCATGAAACTTACATTCTAATGTTAAGTATTTTTTTGTTTTGTTTGTTGTGAGAGGGTTCATTTCAAAGCCAAGCCACACATTTTTTCCATCTGCTTAATGGCAATATTTACTTAGTGCTTAAGTATGTTTAATAAATTTGGCTGCTACTTAATTTTTTTCTAATTGTTTGTGTTGATAGTATGCCAGTTTATTCATTTTCAAAATCCTAAACATTGTTTTAGTCAGCTTTTTCACTGTTGTGACCAAAAGATCTAATAAGACCGATTAGATGAAGGAAAGTTTATTTGGGGTCTTAAAAGTTCAGAGGTCTTAGTCCTTAGGCAGCTGACTCCATCCCTCTGGGCCCAAGATGAGGTAGAACATCATAATGGAAGAGTGTGGTGGAGGAAAGTATTTCAAGACATTGCATGCACAGGGGAACAAAGAGAGAGAGTTCCACTCATTCATTCAAGACTACCCCCAAAGACACAACCTCAGGGACACACCTCTTCTAGCCACACCCTACCTACCTATACTTACCACCTAGTTAATTCCTATCAGGTGATTAATGCACTGATAAAGGCTCTCATAACTCAATCATTTCACCTTTAGGCTCTCTTGCATTGTTTAATACATGAGCTTTTGGTGCACACCTAGTGTCTACACCATAACAATGAGTAAGTTGGGTTCTATTAGAATAGTTATTGCCAAAAAATTTGGAAAAGAGAAGGCCAAGAAGTTCCAGGTTTGCTATTTTTTGCTTTTGTTGACAATGTAAGCCATTTTTCTTTTTTTCTGCTACCACAAAGCCTTCTTGCAGATAAACTTTTTACGTGATTCTTTTCTGTATGAATCTACCAATACTATTTGCCTCTTAATTACAATGAAAATGCGTGTGGTTTTGTTGGTATTTTATATTTTATATTCGATTTTTTCCTTTGCTTTTGAATCATTTCCAGTAGGAGGAGAAGAAAATACCCATTTAACCATACTTATACCACAAATATTGACTGACTTTTATATTATTTCACGGTAACTTAATTTTTTCCATTTGCAGTTATAAGAAGTTGATGTCTCTGAAAATAACTGATACTGATATAAGACCGAAGATCAGTTTAAAATTTAATACAAAAGGTATTATTTTAGTTTTATATGACTCCTTTTGAAAAGTATGTGAACATATTTTACTTTCTCTGTAAAGTGTCATGCCATTAACAAGCATACCATCACCTTTATTGGCTGTTCTCTAGACTTGGGTTTATATCAGTGAGCAGCACCTTGTGTAGGCTAGAACTCACAGACCGAAAGATCAGCAGTATATGGGTATCATATTACTTTGGCATTCTATAGTATGGCATGCCAGGTAGCTGTGACTACACAATAAGATTTGCCCTAGCAGAGCTTTCCTCCAACTCCTCTCCCATTGTTACTATTTTTCCTTTTGATAGAGCAGCATTTAGAGCATCCTAACATGGGATAAATGAACATTCTCATATCTGAGCCAAGTAGTCTAAACTAAGGTGCCAATATTCAGGAATGTACTAGGAAATGCTCTCTCCAGCACTTAGAGATATTACAGGTCCTTGGTCCCAAGGAAGACTAGTTTGGTGGCAGTCTTTTGTGCTAGGGGAAATGGATATCCCTCTTAGCAGCCAGCTTTTTATTGGGCTAGCTGGAGAAAGCTCTTTGAGTCATTTTATTGTTAATTTTGTTCAGGTCCATAGCATATATGAGGTATACTAAGTATAAATACTAATTTAAAAATTTATTAAAACATAAAATCAAGAAGGATAAAATAAGCCACATTCTATGATAAATACATTTTTATATTGATAATAAATACTGTCATATACCAAATACTATCATATACCAAATTCTTACTACTTTCTAACTCATCTTAGTCTATTTTCTTTCTGTGGAAGTACTACTAAACTGGAAAAATACTGAATAGTTTAGTCACATGCCTATTTTATTTCATTAATGACATACATACTTTATCATTAAATTTATTTTGGGGTGTAAAAACATGAAGTTTACTAGATTAGTGCTTCTAAGAATTTGTATGTACTTAATAAAATCTAATGGTTTTATTAAAATGCAGGTGCTAATTCAGTAGATCTGGAGTGGGGCCTGAGATTCTGCATTTCTGACAGGCTCCCAGGTGGATGCTGCTGCTCTTAGTCTGTGGATGACACTTTGAGTAATAAGGATTTATATTGTTTCATGTTTCTTGATATAGACATGTGCTTTCTAATATGGTAACAACCAGCCTATGGCATAGTTTAAAGATTAATTAAAATTAAATAAAATTTAACACTCTGTTCCTCAAGCACATTTACAGTGCTCAGTATCAGACAATTTTTAGACAATGCAAATATAAAACATGTTTGTCATAGAAACTTTATTGAATAGTGTTAAAAATTAGGATAAAGTATAGTTGTTTAAGTGAAGTATAAACATTGCAATTATCATTCCTGGAAAATTTTAGGAATTTTAGAGGCCTAATACTTTGATGACATTTGGTTGCCAAAGCTCATGTACTTGAATGAAACCTTGGATGGTTGAAAGGTTCTGATGATTGCTTTTGCTTGGGTACATATTGTTTTTGTTTAAAGTTTTTTGACAGCTAGATAGAAAGCAGCATGTTTATTTAGCACCAGTTGTGGCAAAGCACTATGCTGTGCTTCATTCCTTAGGAATAGTTTAGGAGCTTAGAATGTAATTCAAGAGGCCACATAGAAAAAGAGCATTAATGTGGAATGTCTTGACTTCTCAAAATTCATTTTCAGATGAAATGCCTATCTTCAAACTTGATTATAATTATTTCTATCATCTGCTTCATATAATTATTATTTCTGGTACTGACATTGTCCGGCAAATATTTGATGAGGCTATGCCACCCCCTCTTTTGAAAAAAGAGCTGCTTATACACAAGAATGTGCTGGAATCCTACTACAACCATCTTTGGACCAATCACCCATTGGGTGGATCATGGCATCTTCTTTATCCTCCAAACAAGGAGCTACCACAGTCCAAACAGTTTGACTTATGCCTTCTATTAGCTCTCATAAAACATTTGAATGTATTCCCTGCACCAAAAAAAGGCTGGAATATGGAACCACCATCTTCTGATCTCTCTAAGTCTGCAGACATCCTGAGGCTGTGCAAATACAGGGATATCCTTCTTAGTGAGATTTTGATGAATGGTCTCACTGAGTCACAATTCAGTTCAATTTGGAAAAAAGTTTCAGATATTCTTCTGCGCCTTGGGATGAAGCAAGAGGATATTGACAAAGTGAAGGAAAATCCCATTGAGAATATCTCCCTTGATTACCATCAGCTATCCATCTACCTAGGCATACCAGTACCAGAAATCATCCAGAGGATGTTATCCTGCTATCAACAAGGTACTAAGTAATTGTTTACTTCAGTCAGTAAATCTTCACTGAAAGTCTGCTCTGTGCCAGGCACAATGCGAAGGGTAGGAAGAGTCAGTGAAGTTGAATTCTTGGTAGAATAGACTCATTAAGAAGGTGATGAGGAAAAAAAAAAGAAGGTGGTAATGGAAATTATGGTACTACAGATATTTACAGAATATGAGGGATGTCCTCCCTCAAAGGAGTCTTAAAAAGCTTTCTGGAAAATATAATATTTAAGGAATTCTTAATAGAAAAAAACATACTCAAGAGGATTTCTTTTTTCATATTGAGAAAGCAATTATTAAGACTTTGTTTTCTTTTGGTACTGGAATTTAACCCAGGAGCTCTTTATTACTGAGCTGTATCCCCAGACCTCTTTATTTATTTTTTAATTTTAATACAGTTTCTTGCTAAGTTGCTTAGAGCTTCACTAAGTTGCCAAGGCTGGCCTCTATATTGTGATCCTCCTGCCTCAGCCTCCCAAGTCACTGGGATTATAGGCATGCACTCTCATGCCCAGCTTTAAAAATTTTTAAATAAAATAATTTTATTACTTCTCCAAAAGTAAATATGCCTAAAACTATGAATTACAGGTGCTGTGTGATTTGAGGATGCCTTTATAGACACAATAGGTATATGTTTCTTTTCCTCTTCTTTTCAGCCAAACCTTGATGTTTATTTTAAAATTTTAGTAGCTATCCATTTGCTGTGGGTAATTAAAATATTAGATATTAGAAGTGTCTGAGTTCAGCAGTTCCATTCATAGACTTGTCTTTTGATATGTGAAACACTTTGGACTTTCTTTGCTACATCCCAGGATTACTTCTCAGATTTCCTCTTGGGCAGTAGAGTTCAAAGCCTGTCAGCATCATTGAAATTCTTGCTTGCTATTCTGAGTGAATGTTTCTTGTCCCCAAGTTATTAGCCTAATGAGTAACTGATGACCACATCTATACTATTTAAATGTACAATTTTCCAAGTTTCTAGTAATTGTTGAACCTGGTCCAGGTTTTCTTCAGAGAAAATTACTTTGCCTCACTCCCAGTCCTGGTAGTAAGGTTCTGGAATAGCTTTATTTGATTAATATTTGAGAGCCTTTTTATAAGTGTGAGGAGACACTGAGTTTAGTGAAATGGGAAAATTAATAAGGAAGAATTCTTGATTTATAAATTTACTTACTAATTTTATTTTTCAAAATATATTTACTGTATTAAGATTTTAAATAGCAAAAACTCATGAAATTGAGGTAATACTTGGAAAGGACTTTAAGCGCCAATTTCAGGCATTTCAAGCAGTTTTTACTTGTATGGTCTGAAGAGCTTATTGATCAAGTTCCTTTAATAGTGGCTTTCTTAGTATCTTTCTTCTCTTTCTTCAGTTATTAAACTTGCAGTTTTTATTCATTTATCTGTGATTATTTGATTAATACCATTGTCCTCACTAAATCTCCATGAAGGTTGTTATTTTTTTTTCACCCTTCAATCTCTAGAGATTAACACAGCCTGATGCATATTATAAGTGCTCAATAAATATTAACAGACAAGAAGAGTGAGTGCTCATCAGAATAATTCAGATTGCTTAAAAAAAATCACAAAGTTTCAATGGAAATTTACTTCTTAATTGACAATTTCCCTTCATGGCCTTAAATTAATAATAAGGAATTTGTTGCTTTGTTTAAGCACTTATTTTCTAGGCTTTTTCTCTTATCAACTATAAATTTTTGTGTAATTTTCTCTCTTTAATCATGAGCTTATAATTTTTTTTAAAGAGAAATAGAGAGAGAGAGAGAATTTTTAATATTTATTTTTTAGTTTTCGGCAGACACAACATCTTTGTATGTGGTGCTGAGGATCAAACCCGGGCCGCATGCATGCCAGGCAAGCGCACTACCATTTGAGCCACATCCCCAGCCCAGAGCTTATAATTTTTATATGATAATCTAGGTTGTGCCTTATCTAAATTGCTTTGATGACCATAAATTGCTATTTTTATAGTTAATTATAGAATGAATTGGTGCTGTATAAAAATCTTACTCTTTTCTTAGTCAGACATTTGTTGGTAGCATTTGTAGTTGTACATCTAAATTTTTTTATTTTATTTTTTTTTGTATACCATAGGAATTGCTCTGCAGTCAATAACTGGCAGTCAACGTAAGTATATTTAACAATAAAGTGATTAAGAGTGATCTTTTAATTTGTGATACCTAAAGGATAGCTATAGGATTTATACTTGGTCAGATTAACTGTTTAATAAACTGTAAACTATACCTATTTATTAAAAGCTTGGGAAATCATTTGTTCATATTAATACTGGCCAGCTGAATCTTGAATGAACCTTGGTCTTAGTACATATACTTCAGGTTTTTACCTAAGGATGATGTTTTAACTTTTTACTTACCAGATGCTTCGCTTCAGCAGGCAAAAATGCCTACCTTCTTGACGTACTATGTGTTGTCAAACATGTACAGCTTTATCTGATTAACAATTCATTGTTTATAGTTGTATTATTTTTTTTTTTGGCCAGGTGATGAAGTGAGTTAATGTATTTTTAAACTTCCATTTATTTATTTATTTGATTTTTTTTTTTTTTTTTGAGATGGAGTTTTCCTAATTTCCCCATTATGGCCTCTCAAATTCCTGAGCTTAAGTCTTTGTCTCTCAAGTACCTGACACTACAGATACACAACACTATACCTGGCTTTTTTATTTCCATTTTTGTGTTGTTGTTGTTTTAAATATAATTAACATTCAGCTTTAAAAAAAAAAAAAAGGATCTGTTTAGAGGTAAATGTTGGACCATCCAGGTGAAGTTTTGGGCTGAGTCTCTGTGGCAATAACAAGGAACAGTGTTAAAGAGAGCACATAATAAGGGGCTGATATCCTTCTTATGAAAAAGAAAAAATAGATATTTTAACTTTTCCTTATCTTCTTATCTTCTTTATGTTTCTGATTTGTATCCTAAAATAATACTGGTTACAGTATTTACAGTGTCAGTGTCAAAACTCAGAAACAGTATTTTGTGTCTACTTAAGTTCTACTACAGTCTACTTACGATACCAACAAAATATCATAGCATTTTGGTTCATACAGATTAATTCCAGGCTAATTATATGTACCTATTATTTGATCATTGATAGACATTGTATTTTTATCTAGTATTTAGAAAAAGTAAAATTTATTCTGTATCTCTTTTTTTGGCATATGTTATATATACACATATACACATACAGATATTTAGGCAAGCATTTTTATAATCATAATAAGAGACTAAAATTGCTTGCATCTAGATTCTGAGTGCTTTGTCTTTAAAAATTAGGTATTGAAATAGAAGAGTTGCAGAATGAAGAGGAAGAACTAAGTCCACCATTCATGGAATATAATATAAACGTGAAATCAAACCCTGAAATACAGTTAGCAGAAATGAGTAAAGATGGAGCCTCGATACCCAGTGAATCTTCAACAGAATCTATTAAAGATCTCCAGGAAGTATAAGCTTTCATTAATATTTGAATTTCAAAAACTTAATCTGGGCCTTTAGTTGTGTGTACTATACTTAAGGCATTATGATTTTAGCTTATATTTAACTGTGTTCACACAGAACTTGAATTGGAATACATCTTTCCTCAGTACTTTCTTCCATAATAATTCCTGCCATTACCATTTATTTTATCAACATTTATTGAACACTTTACTCTGTGCCAGGCTCCATGCTAGATTTCTGAGTACAAGTCTTCCTTATTAATGGAAGTCTAAGTGGAAGAGTAGCAGAAAGAAAAAGAGTGCATAATGGGATATAGAGCAGAGAGAAAGAGAAAATTGAAATATTTCAATGCCACTTGCACAAAAGTAGAATTTAAATCATCTAGGATAGAATCTCTGTTTCTTAATAACTGGCAAAAGTTATTATATAGTCACTAAGTTTTTCATGGACTTAATCGTTCATCTTATGAACATGAATATGTTGCTTTTTTAAAAGTGCTTTCTTCCTCACATATCTAGATATCTGAATTATAGGATAAGCAGCACTACAATACAGCAAAAAAAAGTTGTAAAATAAAAGTGCTTTCTTTCTTTGTTGGTCACATGCATGTGTTCAAGTGAGCACTTGAAAACATTTATCCTTAGTCTACTTATTGACAGAATATTCTATTCCTTTATACGTTATTGATTTGTCAAGGACAAAAAACTAAGATTAAAATAAAAATAAATGTTTCCATAAAACCTAGAAAGAAATATGATTTATAGTAGTAGAAGACAAACTATCAGTAGTTAGAAGCATGCAAAATAACCCATTGTATACTTTGAGCTGCATATTAAATGATTTATTTCTTGCCTGCTAGGTTAAGAGTAAACCAAAGAAAAAGAAAAAAACTAAGAATAAAAAGGTAAGAGACTACATGAGCATTATAATACAGAGTTGTCTGATTATGACCTCTTCATTTTAATACATAAATTCATTGTTAGAACTTAAATTAGTCCAAGATAGACATGTAGCATGAATGACTCAATGGCATGTTGAGTATAGGATTATAGAGAAATCCACTTACGTTGTACATGGTTGAAACAGTATATACAACTAAATCATAATTTTCACTTTTCAATATATAAATATGTTGATTGAATTAGTCAATTTAAAATTCCCTTAATTTCTGCATACCACTGTTATTTTTAAAATGTCTACTGAGTATTTTAATAACAGCTTCCTTTGTCATATTTCTACAATGTAGAAGCATTTTTCAACATGTTAAGAAATCTTATTTTCTTTTGTGTGTCTGAGAGTCTGCCAAAAATGCAATAATGTGCAATAAAGGTACAAATGCAACCTTTTTCATTGTTCTTTCCTCATGTATACCAGTTCCAAAAATAACAATTCAAAAAGTCTTACAGTTTTATCAAAAAGTCTTCTAATCACGTAGACAGTTTCAATGCAAAGTGAGGTGTTTTTTTTAACCAGACATATTACTGTCCATTTTGTGGTTCATACTTAGTGGTGAAAAAAAAAAATATTGTTTTTCTAGTCTGAAACAATATATTTAAAATCTTGATATCTTTGTTTATTATATACTGAGTAATTGTAGTTCTCCCAGCTACAATCTAGTGAGACCATAATATTCGTCATTTGGAAGTATGCACAAATTTTAATCATTGATGAAACTTAAGATGAATTCGCAAAATACTTACTGATGTGAAGAACAAAATAAATAACATGTCAAAATATTCTGCCATGTGTATCTAAAAAGAAAAAACAAAAAAGAACAAAATAAAAATAATTTATACATTATCTGATAAATAAATATCAGTATTATTTTCACAGTTTTCATAACCATCATTTATTGTAACTTATTTAACTCCAAAGTTTTGAAAATTAAATTGTTTTTAAAAGACAGATATATGCATTTTTTTTTTTTTTACTTTTGGAGAGTTTTTGCCTTATAAAACACAGTCCAGTTCACTAGATTAGTGGTATATTTTATTTTTGCCAAAATATCGATAAGTCCCAGGTCTAATACTGTCTAAAGCTGGACAAGTAAATTCACAGCTGTCAAACCACAAAGCTAAGTTCTATGTGGTATGTCTTTTATTTGATTCCAAAAAATTAAAATACGATAATTCTCAAATTCTCAATTTTAGTTAAATGGAAATGTCAAATTGAAATCAAACAGAGAAAATACATCTAGAAATAAATGGAAATATCACTCAAAATTTCATACATATGGTTATTAAAAATGTTTTATTAAATGTCAACAAATATCTAGGTATTATTTTGTTTCTTTAACATCTTTTTTCCTAATTTAGTTTAAGAAGTTCAAGTACTTTTGAAATAAATTTTATTAAGATAAAATTTGGATATTAGAAGAGAGATCTTATACCTTTATCTTGTATCTTTTATCTAAATTTTAAAATATTTAAAAAATGCTTAAAGTTACACAAACAATTATTTTATATGGAATAATCCTATTCATATGCTTAAATTGCTGTGCTGTAGGTGCAAAGAATTGTCTAGTTGTAGCATAGGCAACCAGTTACAAACAGTGACATCAACCAAATTCTCTAATGAGGAATTCTTACGAAAAATTTTAACATTAAAGTATGCTTCTTGCACAAAGCAACAATGACTGTTGTAGTCCGCTATGCGATACTGTTACCAAAATGCCCGGCAAGAGCAATTTGGAGGAGGAAAAGTTTATGTGGGGCTCATAATTTCAGAGGTCTCAGTCCAGAGATGGCCAACTCCATTGCTCTGGGCTTGATGTAAGGTAGAACTTTATGGTAGAAGAGTATGGTGGAGGAAAGCAGCTCAAGACATGGCACCAGAAAGCAGACAGACTTCAGCAGAGACAGAATATGTACTATACAGGCACACCCCCAGCAACCCATCTCCACCAGACATACCCTGTCTACTCTCCTAGGTTACCACCCAGTTAATCCATTCAAGTGGCTCATAACCCAATCAGTTCACCTCTGAACTTTCTCGAATTGTTTCATGCATGAGCTTTTGGGAGACACCTCATATCCAAACCATAACAGTCATTTGAAACCATAGCAGTCTCTGCATGAAATTATATTCTCTAATAAAATATCAAGAAAAGGTAGAATTTGTATAGCATATAGTGGGGACAGTACAAACTTTGTAGCTATTCTATATTTTCTCTTTTTTCAGTTAGGTATTTAGTATTTCTTCTAATATAATGTGAATTGTAAATAACTCTTTTGGGTATTTAGATCCTTCCATCTCCTTCCCAGGGTTAGAATTGGGAAAAGAATAGAAGTCTTTTGTGATGAAGCCTTGTGGGAGAAAAATATGACAGAAAATAAATCTAGCTCTTCAGATTGTGTGGCCTTGCTACAGAACAGAAGTTGCAGAGATGAATTCAAGAGAGATTGATGTATATTGGCATAAAGTTGTCATGGGAACAGCTAGAAGGAAATTTGAGAAATAATCTAGAAATAATTTATACTATACTAGGTATACTTATTATGTACAACCAAAGATCTTTTCAACTTGGGCATTCAAGTGCACAGGAACCAAAGTCAGAGTCAGTAATTCTAAATTGTAAAATCAAATTGGCATTGAACATTTAAAGTAAGTCAGAAAACTGAAACATCAGAATTTTCTTAGTGTACTGGTAACAGCAGAAGAGCATTGTCTGGGGCTGGGGTTGTGGCTCAGTGGTAGAGAACCTACCTGGCATGTGTGAGGCACTGAGTTTGATCCTCAGCACTTCATAAAAATAAATGAAATAAAAGGTGTTGTGTCCATCAGCTACTAAAAATAAATTTTAAAATAATTTAAATGAAGAAGATCATTGTCTGTATAGAAAGAAACTCTGAATTTCTTGTAAACAAGAGATGGTAGAAATTAATCCTTATATAGTATTCCTAATTTATGTCATTTCTATTACCTTTATTTGATACATTGTTGCTATAGTTTTAATGAAGATAAAATTTAGAGACTTTTTAAAGATTTCCTCCAAACTGAGATCTCCTGAATACTTCTCTGTTATTGTTTTGTTGTTTGTTTATTTGTTTTTCTTTTGATTTTGTTTCTACTGGGAATTGAACCCAGAGACACTTAACTCCTGAGCCATATCCCCAGCCCTTGTTTGTATATTTTTATTTAGAGACAAGATCTCACTGAGTTGCTTAGGGCCTCAATAAGTTGCTGAGGCTGGCATTGAACTTGTTCATTATCCTCCTGCCTCAGCCTCCTGAGTCACTGCAATTATGGGCATCTGCCACCGGTCCTGGCCACTTTCTTTAAGATTGTTAATGATTTAGTCTGATTGCACTTTACATGAAAGTTTCCAAGAACCCTTGTAATTAGCATTGGAATAAATCGAAATTACATATACCCTTTTCTGAGTTTTACCAACAGGTTCAAACTCGACCCCAATATTCACCTTCATTATCTGAGTCAGTGATTTTTAATGTTATATGTCATGACTTAGTAGTAGATTATAAAATCAATTTAATAGATTAGAACCACCATTTTAAAGAAGGTAGAATAATAGAAATAAAAAATACCACAGTCACTGTTCATTACAGATAACATGAATATTTCATGAAATTTATATTTTAGTTTTTCACTTGTGAGTAAAGATATAGATAAGTAAGCATATATGGCATCATGATATAAAATGTATTTATTTGGTTTTGATCAAAAATATTTGAGAAACACTGGATCTAAATGAGATATCACTATGCTATATTGATATAGTTGATATAGGTTATTAATTCTTATTGCTTTTTTTTTCAGAATAAGGACTCAAAAGAAGAGCAAGTGTAAGTATTATTTAATTTAATTTTTAAGTTTTTCTTAGTATTTGCAAAGGGTGTTTTGTCCATAACACTCATCTTTCCTTTGAAAAATTTTTCACTAAGAGAAGGAAAAAAACAGTTATTTTTCTTAACAAGTTGCTGCTATGTTGCAGAAAATGACAAAAAGTTGAAATATCATTTAGCTTGGGAGAATAGTCTCTCACCATTTTTTCTCTGAGGCTACTTAGGAGTCATCTAGTGCTCACTGCATCATTCAAGAAATAACTTGAGTTCTGCATAAAATATTTTTAATTGTATTCTACATTGTAGTAGCCAAATCTAGACTAGATCTAGAATAAATCATTGTTATTCCCCAGTGACCTCTTTAGAAGAGTTTGATTTAATGTGTTTTTATTTAACCTAAAGTGGTGATGGTGGTGGTTTTGTTTTTTTTTAATCTCAGTTATTGACAGTGAATTTTTAGCTTTTAACATAAAAATTTCAATGTCAAAACACCACTAAGAGATATTATATAACAATGTGATTGATCACAATATAGTAGATGAAGGAAGGGGATAGAACATTTAATGAAGGAACAACATTATTTCTACCAAAATGTTGGTAACTGTTTATTAGAAACATTAGAAAATTTCTCAGAACATGAATTGGGATATCTTTTAAATGAAAGCAAGAACATATTTTGTAAACTTTAAAGCTATTATTTCTAGTAAATATTTCTTATGGACACAATCCACTTGTTGAATAAATAATTCATCAGTGGCACATGCCTATAATCATAATGGCTCAGGAGGTTGAGACGGGAGGATGGCAAGTTCAAAGCCAGCCTCAGCAAAAGCAGGTGCTAAGTAACTCAGTGAGACCCTGTCTTGAAATAAAATACAAAATAGGGCCAGGGATATGGTTCAGTGGCGGAGTTCATCCCTGGTACCCTTCCCCAACAAAAATTAGTTCATCAGCCAAGATATGATTTTGCTTTCTTTGGCAACATATTGAGCCGCTAGAGCAACAGGTTTTTTGTTTTGTTTATTTGTTTGTTTGTTTCTTGGCTTTTTCTAAATGCCATAAAAATTACTTAATAAAAGTGACACATTGTCAGCAATCTTTTTTTTTTACATTGTAGATCCAAATCTATATAGTGATCAATATACCCTGGAGGCTTTGTTTTTAAGTGAGAATTTTCAAATATCCACAAAGTAAAGAGAATACTATATATACAACAGTATAAATACCTATCATCCCAATTCATCAGTTAATCATTCTTTCACATTTGTTTCATACTTTGTTTGACATTCTGTTCTGTTTTCAGTCTCTAAAATTATTGTAATTTTACCTCTTTATACTTCAGTTTTCAACTGTTAAAAATATGAACATTTTCCTATATTTTCCAGTGCCATTATTGTACTGAAAATATTTCGGAATAATCTTGGGAAGCTTTTAAGAATGCAAATTTATTATATTTTTTTTTACTTAGAGAGGTGCCTGGAAACGTGTATCTTTTTTTTTTTTTAAGCTCTTCAAATAAGTTAAAAAAATTGAGTTCGCGAGACTGGTCCATATAAACAGTTGATTCCATTGAACTTTCTAAATGTTTAAGTTACTTGAGAATATCTCAGTTATGTCTTATGACTGCTTATATAGTGTTTTATCAATTCTACAAACGTTAGATGTTAGTGTTCTAAAAAAGTAATACTGTATCCTAAAATTTTATCCACTTGCAAAATCAAGTCATCTATATTGTGTTTTAAATAAAAGTACTATTTCTAGTTATCATTCAGGGAGATTAGGGAGAAAATTTAGAGTTACTAAATAGTAGGCCAAGTAAAAGATTAGTAGCATGTATTTAAATTTTAGACATAAGCATAAAAATTGGACACTTGACATTATATATTTAGCATTTTTATTTTTATTTTTTAGTGGTTCTTATTAGTGGTGTAGTTACTGAATGCTATGTTGTCACTATAGTTTTATTTAAAAATTCTTTTGTAAAAGAAACTTACATTTGATAATCTATTTTATGTTGCTATGCATAGCCCTCCATTTACACTGAAGTTGATTAAACCAGCCTACTTGTCAAGACAATTTTGGGTGGTAGGGAATGTTCGGATGAATAAATAATAGAGCAGATATGGACATGCTTGCCAGTGTTTCTCAAAATATTGTTTTACACGTCAACTGATAATTCAGTTATAATTTGAGAAACAAAATAGATGCTTCTCAAAAGAAATACAAATGGTCAACAAATATATGAAAAAAATGTTTGACATCTAGCAATTAGAGAAATGCGTATCAAAACTTTTTTGAGATTTCATCTCACTTCAATCAGAATGGCAATTATATAATAGTAATGTTGACAAAGATGTGGGGAAAAGGTATACTCATACATTCTGGGTGGGATTGCAAATTAGTACAACCACTCTGGCATGCAGTATGGCGATTCCTCAAAAAACGAGAAATGGAACCACCATGTGTCACAGTTATCCCACTCCTTGGTATGTATACAAAAGATTTAAAATGAGCATTCTACAATGATGCAGCCACATTAATGTTTATAACAGCACAATTCACAATAGCCAAGCTATGGAACCAACCTAGGTGCCCTTCAACAGATGAATGGATAAAAGAAAAGTGTGTGTGTGTGTGTGTGTGTGTGCGCGCGCGCGCGCGCATACGTACACACACACACACACACAAATATATACATATGTGTATACACACACACACACACTGTAGAGTATTACTTAGCCATAAAGAAAAATGACATTATGGCATTTGCCAGTAAATGGATGGATCTAGAGACTGTCGTGTTAAGTGAAATAGCCAGTCTCAAAAAGTCAAAGGTAGAATCTTTTCTCTGATATGCAGAAGCTAATCCAAAATAAGGGGGGAACATTAAAAGACAAAGAAAGGAAAAAGGTAGCTTGAATTTCATTAATATAGAGGAAAGATGAGTGGAATAGACAAAGGAGATTGAGGAGGAGAAGGAAGAGATGGGAAAAACAGTGGAATGAATCTGACCAAGCTTTTGCATGTGAATGCATGAGTGTGGCACAGTGGGTCCCAGCATCAGGTATATCCACAGGACACTAATTGAAAAACAAAAACAAAAAACTATAAATGGATTGAAGTAAGATTGACTGGAGAGGACTGGGAAGATGGAGAAATAGTGGAGATTGAATTGGAACTGGTTGAGTTCCATACCTTTGTGATAATGACAGAGTGTAACCTGTGTTTTATATAATTAAAATAAATAAATAAATTTATTGGGTTGAATAGGATTTAATAGTTTCTTTTAATGATCTCTCAAATATTCTAATATTCGTTGTGAATGTTGAAAAGAAAAATATGGTATGAGCACTATCCAAACATTCTTTAACCATGACACCTTCTAATTCTGGGCATCTCATGAGACAAGTACAATACTAATTTAGGAAACAATAGCTTAGATGAAAAGCAATGTATAGTTAATACAAAATCACATTGATCATATCACCACTACAGCTCATATATGGTAGAGAAGGAAGAACAGTTGAAGAAAGAACAAACAAATCCACAACTCATTGGTAGATTTATGAAAGATGATGCAAGTGACATTCAAGAGGATTCTGCATCTGAAGACAAGTTTTATAGCCTGGATGAATTGCATATTCTAGACATGATAGAGCAGGTAAGTGTGGATGGAGAGGGAACAGCCCGGATTCTGTATTCCAGAAATAGTTGTTAACCTTTGTTTTTTTCCATATTCTTTGAACAGAATGACTTTTTTTTTTTTTTTCATTTGCTGATAGATCTTTATTTTTTTAATACCTGGTGCTAAGAATCGAACCCAGTGCCTCACACCTACCAGGCACATGTGCTATCACTGAGCCACAGCCACAGCCCCCAGAATGACTTTTTTAAAAACCCAGCAGTTTCTGCTATTATAAGGAGAAAGTAAAAACAGGAAGGGAGATATGGTGGGGAGGGTGAAGGAAAAAAAAAAAGAAGGGGAGAAAAAACTTTAGGAACTGGAAATGTTTCATATTAGCCTTCAAATCATTTCTTGGGCTTCTCTATTGGCTAAAGGTGATTACAAATGTATTCCTTGTAAAAGGTTTATGGACACCACAAGGGGGGAAAATAATTTTACTGGATTCAATATTATGACCAAAAATAGTTTTGTAAAACACACTTACCTTTTTTTTTAATTAAATCTGGTTTTTATCAAGTGTTTATAAAAATATAAGGTACAATAATTTTTTCTTGTTCCCTTGGTGATAGTAGTCACTGTTTGTATATTCACTAAGAAGTATTTGTCAGTACAGATGATTACCTGACTGGTAGTACAGCATTCATATAAATGGTCATGCCCAATTTTTCTCCTTCCCATCTACAGTATTCAAATATGTACATTTAAACTGAAATTACATACTCTTAGTTTTGGATGTCACGGTAAAGTTTAATTATGGGACCCCAAGTTTTTATTTAGTATCCAGGAGAGCTCTAGCAACTCAAAATTAGAATAAAAATGTTACATACCTTTCAAAAAATGTTTATTCATTTAAGAAAAGACAAAAACATTTATCATGTACATGTTGCCAAGACATTATGTTAAGACATGGTCCTTGTTAACAGTGTTTACAATCTAGTGGAGAAGTTGAATATTAAAGTGAGTTGATAAAGTGCAGTGAAGAGGTTTGGGCAATTAAGACTGCCTAAGTTAGAAATTATATAAATTAGAATTATATGAGGAGGATAATTAAGTTAGAAATCAGGTTCCTCCACATGCTGTGTGACCTTGGGCATGTTGCTACTCCTTTTATCTTAAAATTGGAATAATGAGTGTCTGACTCATTATTACAAAAAGCATACTTTAAAAAAAATGTTAAGTATGAGGGTAGATGTGATCAAAATACATTATTTGCATGTATGAATATGACATAGTGAAACCCATTATTTTGTATAATTAAAATGTACTAGTATAGGTAAGCATGCTGATGGTGTTATTCGATAGAAGCAGCAGCAGACAAGTAACTGTTGTTAGTGAAGGGTGTAATTTGGGAGAGGTGAGTTTATCTCATCAGAGAAGTGATGTTTTAGTTGAGACATGAAACATGAATAGGTATTAGATGGTATCTTTAAATCCCCTGTAAATAACAAAATAGTAGTACTTTTTTAAAGAGAAAAATAAGACATGCATTATTTCATTTTCTTAATAGGGTTCAACTGGCAAGGTAACTACAGACAATGGAGAAACTGAAAAGGAAAGGCTTGCCCGTCAACGGCAGCTTTATAAATTGCACTATCAGTGTGAAGTAAGTACTTTTCCCACTAGATCTGAGGAAAGCAAGAAATATTTCAAATGTTAAACTTAATATTGTTTCTTTTTAAAAAGAATACAGTTGAGTTTTTCTTTCAGTTTCTAATGATTTAAGCCAAATTAACTGTGAAATAATATTTTTCATTGACCAGGATTTCAAAAGACAGTTGAAAACAGTGACATTTAGATGGCAAGAAAATCAAATGCAAATTAAAAAGAAAGACAAAATCATTGCATCTCTTAACCAACAAGTGGCTTTTGGAATCAATAAAGTCTCCAAGTAAGTACAAATTTTTTGATAGAAGGGAAATTGTGGGTTTCCCTTGTTTATCTAATAAGGATACTTATTTTGGCCACTAGATGGCAATATGACTACACAGTCAAAATTCCAAACAGGGCTTGTTTAAAAACCGACTATATTTTTGCCTTGCCAATTGAATTGAGAAATAACTAGCTGCTCGTGTATTGGCTAAACAAGTGTGAAGGTAATAGAATTATATGAAGAGAATAATTAACTTTCAGGTTGTAACTCATAATTTGTAAAAATATGATTGATGATTGGCTGATTCTTTCTCAAAGACACCCATAGAATCATTTGAGTACTTCTTTATATTGGTGTGTCAGTATTTGTGTCATGGAGACTCTTCCCATATTTACCAATCTCTCTTCTTTTATAGTCTTAAGTATTAAATGCCAAAGTCCCCAAATTCTGACTGATTAGGGAAAAACGATTCACCTACTTTATTTTTTATACTAATAGCTGCCTCCCATATATCTCAGTTGTAATAGTAGCATAGTTTGTAACACATTTGCTTATTTTAATAAACAGTTGTACTATACAACACCAGCCATCCATGAAGTCTATTTCAAATTCCATTGAAGTTGCTAGAATTCTAGTAGGGAGTAGAGACAAAAACTAGCAGATGTTTTATAGTAAGGGAGTGCAAGATATGTCTTATAAAATTGGAGAAGTATTGGCAGCAATTTAGATCTAAATTTTCTATCACATGTTGTTAGTTTAAACATAAAAAGGGTTTTACAAAGAACTAGATGCCATAGTTTTGTCAAAATAATTTCAATTACCAACACCTTTAGATTTGTCCCTATTGGAGTAAGAGAGATCCTGTGAGTTCAGAAGGAGATGAGGACCTAAGAAAGTCTAGGCAAACTGAGCGGGCCACAATCACTTACTTCACTTATCTATATTTCAGGATTTAAAACTTTATCTTTTAGCCTGGAAAATGATAATGAATCCAGAATATGTCATGTAACATCAGAGATAAGAAAAGCAATTCTATCAGTGTGGATGAGCAGCCTCTCTTTTGCCATCAAAGAATATTCCTTCTCAATCCATAGGGCTACAACCATCACTCTATAGGATGCATATGTCTTCACATCAGAGCATTCACCAAACATATGTCAGGTGCCCACTGTGTCAAGAATTATATAAAGTACATGTAAAAGATAACAAGATGTATGCAGAATTTATGATGAGCAAATGGATACCATAGATTAACATGTAAGAATTAGAATTACATATAACAGGAACTTTTAGGTCCAACAAGATACAGTAGTCCCATTCTTCTCAGCTCCCTGCATCCTGGTTATAACATAACCATACATAGGAACAAAAGTAATAAATAAAAGGTGAAAGAGTGAAATATATTGTCTAAAGACTTTGGGGTGTGTTGGAACAAAAATGGCAGTAAGTGTTCTTGTTGCCTCCCATATATATCCCAGACAAGATACTACAGAAGCTAGAACTGTGAATAACCACAGAAAGAAAAAAAATTCTAAGAAGTTTGTTTCCTATAATCAAGAGATCAGGAAAAGGAAAGTATAACAACAGTAAACCCTTTGATAGTGACCACCCTACTCTAGCCAAACACCAGTGGCCCCCATACCACCCCTAGAAAGTAATCAGTGTAATCTGAGTGTCCACTTGACAAAGAGGTGGCAGTATCTATTTCCCTATCAGGATACTATCAGCAATATTGAGAAGGCAGCTGACCTTATCATGATGATGATGTATTTATTTGTTTATCTGGGGAATGAATCCAAGCAGCTGATCTTCTAGACAGAAGGAGGTAATTCACCTAATTCATCTGCCAGTATGTGTCAGTGTGATCTAGTGGATGAGAGCTGAGCCTCTACCTCTAACCAGCATCAATGAGACTCAACAAGGCAGTTCCTGGTAGGACTAGTCAAGACTAGGCTTCATCTCTCCTTCTCCCATGGAAAGCTAAATCTATCCCTGGAACTAATTGCATTCCATTTCTCTCCCCCCTTATTAGCTGGTGACAGAGGAGCAAGCACATAGGGAGCTTCTGCCTCCATTCTAATAAGAAAGTGGTGTTAGTCCACTCTTGTCAGCAGGGCCAGTAGGGAGCTGATCTTATGCTCCACTTGGAGACAAAAGGTGCCTTTTTTAGTATGAGTTGGTGCTCCTTCTTCATGGGAAGATATCAACTAGGCTCAATGGTGAGCTAAATTTCTACATGTTTCAACATCATTGAGGCAGTGTAATTCAGTGCCCACTTCTGTTAGAGTGCTTTCAGTAGGGACCAGTATAAAGCTGTACATACCCATTTGGCCCTTATATTATATCTCAAGAGGGGTACTGTTTGCTTATAAAAAGGAAGATTAAATAGAACCCAGAGTCATAATATCCAAAATATCTAGGCTACAATAGAACATAGTTATAATACCAAGAATCAGGAAAATCATGTTAAAGAGAGTAAACTATGACAACATTAAGATGAATCAGATGTTGGAATTATCTGACAAAGATTTTAAAGCAACTGTTATAAAAATGCTTCAATAAAATTGAATTTGCTTGAAATAAATGGAAACCTGAAGGCCTATAATCCCAGCTACTCAGGAGGCTGAGGCAGGAGGATCATTGAGCCCCAAAATTTTGTGACCAGATTGGGCAACAAAAAGAAAACCTAGAAAATACCAGGTTATAATAAGAAACAGTAAGTTATAATTAAATACAATAATTAAAATTAATTTAAAAATACTGACTATAGTCACTAAAGAGGACAGGAGTGAATCAGTGAACTTGGAGATAGATGAATAGAATTTGTCCCATCTGAAGAGCAAAAGAAAACAGATTGGGGAGTGGGTGGATCTAAAAAGACAGTTTCAGGGACCTGTTGAATAATGACAAAAAGCTAAAGTTCTTTTCAGAGTTCCAGAAGGAGAACAGAGAGAGAAAGTGGACTGAAAAAGAGTGTCCAAAGGAATAGTAGAAAACTCTCAAATAAATGAATAGAAAACTCTCACATTTGAGAACACACATAAATTTACATGTTCTAGAAGCTAAAACTGAACCCTAAATGGCAAAACTGAAAGAAATCCATGACAAGACACATCTTACCTATGTCTCTGATAATTAAAAACAAAGAATAATCTTAATTATAGGAGTAGTCCCCCTTAACCACGGGGGATACATTTGAAGATTAGGTAGTACCTGTGTGTATAATGTTTTTTTCCTAAACTTACATATCCATAATAAAGTTTAATTTTTATTAGGTACAGTTAGATATGAACAGTACCTAATACTAAAATGGAATAATTCTAACAATTATACTTAATAAAATAGCATCACTTTTCTTCTTTTATGGGAATATTATTAAGTAAAACATGGGTTTCTTGAACATAAGCACTGTAGTGCCAGGACAATTGATCTGATAGTCAAGATAGCTACAAAGGGACTAATGGGTAGGTAGATATCTTGGACAAAGGGATGATTCCATATCCCAGCCAGGACAGAACACGAGGGTGCAAGATTATAACACACTGTTCAGACTGAGAATAATGTAAAACTTACAAATTGTTTATTTCTGAAATATTCCATTTAATATTTTTAGACAATGTATGACTCTGGGAAAGGAAGGAAGCAAAACTACAGATACCAGGAGCAGGGAGGATATTGTACCTATGTTGGAACATTAATTGGAATTATAGCAGAGTTTTCATCTGAAATCATGGGAGTCAGAGGAAGTAGCACATTATTTAATTACTGAAAAGAGAAGAATTGAAAGAAAAGAATAGTCATGAATCCTGTATTCAGCAAAAATATTCTTCAGGAATGAAAAGAAAGAGAGACAAACTCAAAGGGAAAGTATAAGAATTTTTTGGTAGCAAATCTACCCTTACAGAAGGAGAATAGGAAGTTTTCTAAACTTAAAGGAAATAGAAGATTAAAAAAGGAATAATAATATCAGAATCAGAATGAGTGGGAAAATAAAAATAATGAGTCCATTCTAATGCTCATTAATTTCTTTAATTGTACCACCTCATCTGGAATGTAACATATAGAAAAAATACAACAATATATTTTACAAGTGAGGAGGGTAAAAGTACCTAATTCAGAGTATGATTTCTGAATTTCACTTTAAGAAGGAAAAGATGAATACCAGTAATTATGTATATATTTTCACACATTAATTTGTAATTTTAATTATGTAATTTTTTTTGTAAACCACTGAGATGTGTTAAAAAACACTATTAAATAAAAGTCAAGATGGAACCTAAAAAAAAGTGTTCGAATAACCCATAAGATGGTCAAAACAAAAAAAAAGAAAAATGAGGGATATAAACAGAAAGCAAACTGTAAAATGACAGTTAAGCCCTAACATATCAATAATTATAAGGAAAAGACTAAAAGAGTGAACTTAAAAACAAGCAAACAAAATATGTTCTAATAATATGTGGTTTACAAGAAACTCAATTCAAATTCAGTAACAGTTTGAAAGAAAAAACATGGTAAATATGCAAACTATTCATATCAAATAAAGTAAACATCAGAGCAAATAAAACTGCCAGACACAAAAAGGGACATTGAATAATGACAAAATGGATCAATCCACTAAGCAGACATAAGAATTTAAGGTATGTATATCAAACAGCAGATCCTTGAAATACATGAAGCAAAATCTGATAGAACTAAAAGGAAAACAGAAAAATCTACAACATAGTTGATGACTTCAAACCCCATTCTCATTACTTATGGAACTAGTAAACAAAAAATCAGCAAGGATTTAGAAGAGTTCAGAACCATCAACCAACATTATCTAATCAGTGTCTGACAACAGCCAGATACACATGCTTTTAAGTGCACACAGGACACATTCTGGGCCATAAAACAATACTCAACAAATTTAAGAGTTGAAAATCATACAAAACATGTTCTAGAATCACAAAGGAATAAAACTGGAAATAAATAACAGAAAGATAATAGGAAACTTCCAAATATATGGCAACAACTCAGGTCTAAATAATTCAACAGTTAAAGAAGATTTCAAGGTAAATAAAAGTAAATTGAATTAAATTAGCATGAAAATACAATATATTAAAATTTTAGGTGCATAGCTGTCAGTTCTAAGACTATATAGCACTAAATAATACAATCATTAGAAAAAAGGAAAAAGTGAGAATTTTCAAAAATTCCAGTGCAAATTAAACCCAAATAATCTCAAAGCAAATGGAAGGAAATAATAAAGATTAAAAATAATGGAGGTGGAAACACTGAAACAACAGAGAAAATGTATGAAACAAAAAACTGGTTCTTTGAAAATGTCATTAAAATTTGGCAAACCTCTAGCAAAACTGACAAAAGACATGAGTTATCATCATCCACAAAGAAATAGTGATATCACTATAAACCTTGAAGACATTGGGGAATTATACTGAGTTGAAAAAAGCCAATCCCCAAAACTTATACTTTATAAAATTCCATTTCTATACGATTCTCATTGAGAATTTATTTGAGAATTTATTCTATTTTAAAATTTGAGAATTTATTCTATTTTAAAAATAGAAAATAGTTTTGTGGTTCCAAGGTTATAAAAAAGAAAAGGGAGCAGCTATTGAAGGGCAAAATGAAGGATCTTGTGGCTTAAACTGTTCAATTAATCACTCTCAATATCCTAATTATGATATTATACTACAATTTTGCAGTCTGTTACCATTGGTAGAAATTTGGGAAAGTGTGCATGGAATCTGTTATTAGACCTTCGTATGATTCTACCATTATTTCAAAATAAAAGTTTAACTTTTGAAAAGTACATATAAATACCAAAATTGAATTTTATAGAGTAAAGAAATTACCTTTGATTATTTGGATGAGAAAGAGCTTCCTTCAGTGAAGGAAGAACTTCACTGAAAACATAATACAAGGTGCTGAAGGAAAGAAAGATAGCCAGACAGAAGGAAAACATGAACTCCCTATTAAGCTTTTAAGCCTTTTTTCTTATTTAATTCACTGAAACATTTCCTAAGAGTGTGTGATAGCATTTCCTTAATTATAAATATTGGTTTCTTTTATCTTATAATATGGAGATTTTTAGATAGCAAAAAAATATTTCTTCCCTTTGACCCAAATTCCATGCCATGCCTACAATAAATGTTTTGCAAATATTTGTTGTTAAGATTTATATGAAAGTGACATATTTTGTATAAACTACAATAAGCAGTTAGTAAATGTCAAGAAACTGCTATTAATAAAATTTATATAACAAACTTGACAGCCAGCCCGACTTAGCTGGAAAACTTTAGATCTTAAAAGAAAATCGAAGAATTTCTTCCAACATGAGAAAAATAGGACTGAAAAGTTACTTACAAATGCCTGAACACATATAGCTGGTTCATATCCATGCTGGATAATGGGAACTGTGCCTACCTACCCAACAATATTTAAGAATCAGGTCTTCTGAATTTCCCACTGGCTGTCAACTCTTTGTTTTATTTTGTTTTGTTTTTTATTTTTATTTTTTTTAATTTATATATGACAGCGAAATTCATTACAATTCTTATTACATGGGACTGGGGTTGTAGCTCTGTGATAGAGCACTTGCCTCGCATATGTTAGGCAGTGGTTTCAATCCTCAGCACCACATAAAAACAAATAAGTAAAATAAAGGTGTTGTGTCCATCTACAACCAAAAAAAATATTTTAAAAACAATTCTTATTACACATATAGGACACAATTTTTCATATCTCTGGTTGTATACAAAGTATATTCTCACCAATTCGTGTCTTTATACGTGAGGCTGATTCATAGTGGGGTAGGGAGGGGGAGCACAGGAAGAATAGACAAACTCTAGATAGGGCAGAGGGGTGGGAGGGGAAGGGGGTGGGGTTAGCAATGATGGTGGAATGTGATGGACATTATTATCCAAAGTACATGTATGAAGACACAAATTGGTCTGTCAACTCTTATTGCCCATTCTGCTCTTACACTGGGTAAAATACTGAAATAATGGAAGTATATAAGGAAAAAGATGTCATCTTAGAAATCTTATCTCAGTTATGTGCTATCTAAAAATGTTTTGGCCATTGAGTATGTATGTGATGGTTGTCCCATAAAATGATATTGTCTAATGACATGATAACCATCTTAGTTTGTGTAAGTACACCTTATTATATTCATGCTAACATTTATCTGAATGTATCCCCATCATTAAGCAACATATATGACTAACTTTTCAATTCTGTCTGCATATTTCTGTGTATTATATTGTAACAAAGCTTGTATTTCTTATTCTTCACTTGAGAACATGATCTCTTCTACAGAAAGTGGGGCCTGGTTTCTTTTCATTGTTTCCTCAGTTCAACAGAACATTTAAGTCTACAAGTTTCAGAAAATTTAAAGTAAAGGTGAATGGGTAGTCTCTAAAATCTAATAATTCAGCCAACATTGAAATCACTGTTTTAAGGACTTAGCATTCTATAATGTATATTAATCAAACACCTATGTATCCCAACAATCTGAACTATAAAGGACTTAAGGAGAAATGTATTTTTGCTATAAATCTCTTTATATTGAAGCTAATTAACAGGTTTATAAAAAAGCTTGGTTATAAGAATAAATATGGCAGCACACAAGGAAGGAACCTCAAAAATGGTATATGACTACATATGTCAGCCAAAAGGTATTACTTTATATTTCTCTTAAGAATTTCTTGCATATTCATTTTTAATCTGATCCATAGTTTTTTTTTCTGATTTATATGAATTTTTTACCCAATCTTTCCAGAACTAAGTCATGTGACTCCCAAGTTATAATTTATACTTTTAATTAAATTCTATGCACACAACCTCATTACTTCTATATTTAAGGTCTGATTTTTTTTTAAGATCTTAATTATTTGATAATTTGCATGACTCAATACAGTGATCTCATTAAGGAACTTGAAGTTCTGAATCCCACAACCATTTTAGAAAAAAAGATGATACTATCCCTGTTTTCTAGTGGGTAAAGTCTAATGGGTAAACCTTTTCCAAATCATTGTGCTGAGATACAAGATAACACTTTTCTCTGGCTTTCTAATGTACTGGGTTAGTACATAATTCTCCTTTCTTTGAGAAGTCAGTAAATCAGACTCAGAAATCAGTTAAGTTCAAAAGGACCAGGTGTAGAAGTTGTATTAGGATTCTCTAAATGTACAGAGCCAACAGGATATTTATATGAATGATTATAAAAGGAGATTTATTATATTGTCTTACACAATCAGATGCTGACTAGTCTCTAAATGTCTATCTGTGCACTGGAAAGCCAGATGACCAATGATGCAGTCCCAGTCTGAGACTGAGGCCTAGGGACTTCTGGAGAATATCTGTTGAGAGTCCACATTGGAAGAATGAAGGAGCTGGTGTCATGTCCACTGGCAATGACAGCAGTCATAGATGCACCTGCGCAAAAGAAAAAAAAAAAAGAGCTTTCATCTACTGCAGCTTTCTTCTTCCACCTTTTATTCCATCTGAATCCTCAACTGATTGGACAATGCCATCCACATTCAGGACAGGTCTTCCCCCACAGTTTACTGTCCCACCCACATGCTAGTGGTTGTTATAAATACTGTCATAGACACACCCAGAGTATCTTAATCCTAGGCATTTCCTGGTGTCTCCCAGTCCAATCAACTATACAATCCAAATTAACCATCACAAGTTCAATTAATATTTCAGGCTCAAGATTTGTGATCCAAATTAGACATAGTTAGTTGGTCCCTTCTTTGGCTACAGGTAGAGCTATTCTGACTGGGGTAAGGCGAAAATTTCTAACATTATGTAATTTACTTTCTTATTCTAGATTACAACGTCAGATCCATGCTAAAGATAATGAAATCAAGAACCTTAAAGAGCAACTTTCCATGAAAAGGTACAAACTTAGATTTTTCTTTGGTTGGTATGCCCTTTCTGAAACTCCTTATTTCTCTCTATATGTTATGGATAGGGTAGCCATATAATGTGTCATCCAAATTGGGTACCTTGCTTTTTTTGGGGGGGTACCAAGGATTGAGCCCAGGGGCTGTTAACCACTATCCCCAGCTTTTTTTACATTTTATTTTGAGATAGGGTCTTGCTAAGTTGCTTACGGCCTCACTAAATTGCTGAGACTGGCCTTGAACTCAGGATCCTCCTGCCTCGGCCTCCCAAGTTGCTGGGATTACAGATATGCACCACCACATGTGGCCAAACTGGGTACTTTTGAGCATGATACTTAGCAGCATCAGTAATTACATTGGGACAATAGATGTAAATTGGAAGTGTGCTAGGCAATTTGGGAGGTCTGATCCTGAAAAAAATGATGAGAAAGATTGAATCAGCAATGTTATAGGCCTACAACAAACTATTGCCTCAGACTAAAACTTCAGAGTTATTTTTTTTTACCCTAATTAATACTACTGGGTGTGACTGCTTTGTGAAATTAGCCAAGTTTTATTCTCATTCACCTATTGTTTGTAGGAACAGCTTTTTTGAGATCTAATTCATATAGCATAAAATTCACCTTGTTAAAATGTACAGTTTGGGCAAGGCGTGGCACATGCCTATAATCCCAGTAATAATAATAATAATCCTCCTGAGTTAGGAGGATCCTAAGTTTGAGGCCAGCCTAGACAACATAGCAAGAACTTATCTCAAAATAAAAAATGAAAAAGACTGAGGATATGAAAGTTGTTTGTTGGTTTCTTAGTATATTTGTAGAGGTATACAGCCATCACCACTGTCTTTTTACAGAACATTTTTATCACCTCCCAAAAGAAACCTTGTACCCATTAAGTCATTCCCCCTTCTCTTCTCCTCTAGCTCTGGCAAACACTAATTTACCTTTTGTCTTTATGTGATTTGCCTGTTATGGACATTTTATGTAAATTAATCATAACATGTGGCCCCTTGCAATTAAGTTCTTAACATAATGTTTTCAAAATCCATGTTGTAGCATATATCAGTTCTCATTCTTTTTTATGAATATATAATATTCTATAAATATAACGCATTTTATCTTTTCATTAGTTTGTTGGAAATTTGGCTTTTTACCAAGTTTTTGGTTAGTATGTACAATATTGTGAATAGTGATGGCATTTATACATAAAGATTTTGTGAATGTTTTTCTGTCTTTTGAATATATACTAGGAAGAAGAACTTCTGGGTCAGCAGTAAGCTTTACGTTTAACTTTTTATTCTTTTTGGTACTGGGGATTAGATCCTGGGACACATCCTCAGCATTTTTTTTTTTTTTTAATTCGGGTCTCACTAAATTGCTGAGGCCCGTCTCAAATTTGCAGTCCTCTTACCTCAAAGTCACTAGAATTATAGTTATGAAACCACCATGCCTGGCAATGTTTAACTTTTTGAAGACCTACCAAACTATCTTCCAAGTAGCAGCACCATTTTTATAGTCAAAATAACTATATATAGAATTTTGATTTTTATACATTCTTACTACACTTGTTATCTATCTGTATTTATTTTACCTGTTTTGTTTGAAGCACTATGTCATTATGCATTCCTCTAGTGATTAATTATGTTGAACATTTTCTTATGTGTTTTCTTTTTTTAGTGTAGATGGACACAATACCTTTATTTTATTTATTTATTTTTATATGATGCTGAGGATCGTACACAATGCCTCTCACACAATGAAAAACATTCACAAAATCTTTATGTATAAATGCCATCAGTATTCACAATCTCACCATAACACAATGTTATGGTGAGATTGTAATAAATCACCAAGTCAATCTCAAAGCAGGAGATGGAACACCAGCTGGCGGGCCAAGGGGCAGGCTGCAAGTCTACACCCTTCAACCCTCTTCAAGGGTTAGAACACACTTTTTATAGTCCAAAACCACAAGTAAATCATGTCAGTACATTAATTATAAATAGCTGTTGCTATGATTCAAAACTATAAATAAAAATCATGAGCTCTAAAATCATAAGCAGAAGGAGAAGTGGATCAAAATAACACTGGTTACATACAGTTTAAAGAATGGTTATTAACGTCTAGACAATCATTCTCTGATAGGGTACATTGCCCAAGAAAAATGGGAACCAAAAAAAGGAATAATTTTACATTGTATAAGAAGAACAGAAACATTTGCATTTCTAAGCAGGATGTGCTAAGCAGGATCAGGATGGCAGAGGCAGAGTTTTTTCATGGAAGAAGCATTTCTTACATGACATGGAGTCTCAGGGTAAAAATGGAGTCTGTTTGGTCATTGCCTAAATAGCCTTGCCCATAACACTAGGCAAGCTCCGCACTATTGAGCCACAACCCCAGCTCTTCTCATGTGCTTTTTAGTCATCTATCTTCTTGGAAAAATTTTTACTTGCTTTCTTTGCCTATTTTTAAATTTGATTGTCTTTTTATTAGTAAGTTTTAAGAATTTCTTGTATTTTGTGGATACAAGTTTCTTTGAAGTATACTCTTCCATTCTGTGGGTAATCTTCATTTTTTTCAGGATATCATTTAAGTCAAAAATTTTTTTGATGAAGTACAATTTTTTTCTTTAAAGCAAATTTTGCACAATATTTAATTGCATAATATTTCTATTGTGTTAATTTGTCTATTTGAGTATTTTGTGGTTTTTATTTTCTCCTCAAAAAACTCTGGCCTTAATGGTATTAATAATATTATTGTCAAGCTTCTTATCAATATTTTCAGGCACTTGAGCTTCTTAGTGCTTCTAATAGTAAAACCTTGAGAATGATTTTGTGATAGTCCCTGTTACAATGTTGCATTTTTGATTGATTATTTTCATTAAAGATATCTGGGTGTGGTGATGCCAGTAATCCTAGCAACTTGGGAGTCTAAAGCAGAAGGATCGAAAGTTCAAGAACAGTCTCAGCAACTTAGCAAGGCTCTAACAACTTAGTGAGACCCAGTCTCAAAAGTGAAGTATAAAACAGGCTGAAGATGTGGCTCAGTGACTGAGTACCCATGGATTCAATTCTTAGTACAAAACACACACACACACAGAGTTTGGTTTGTATTTACTATAGAATTTTGGGACTCAAGTATAGGAAACTGAGAAGGGATAGGAAAAAAAGAAAGAAATATTATAGGAAACCATTTTCCATTGTATAAACAATGACCTGACCTTTATGTTTCTCCTTCCTCTCAAGCTATGTAGAACTTGCTCTTATTTTAAGGTATGAAATGAGAGCACTGATAAAACCAGTAAAATATTTTATGACAATAATAATGAAAACTTTTGTGGTTTTATTATATTGTTAGGATACAAAAGGGTTTGTGGAAACCTGATGTAAAATTTATTAACAAAGATAGTGGCTAACATTTATTTAGTATGTATGTGCCAAACACAAAGTGCTTTATGTATATTGTCTGAATGAATTTTCACAACAGCTATTTTTAAAAATAATACAACTTTCTTTTTACCTGTGAGGAAAATGAGGTATAGAAAAGTTAAGTAACTTGCTGTCTTACTTTGAGCTGTTAAAAAAATACCATTGAATAAGTAGCTTATTTACAACAAAAATGTATTTCTCATAGTCCTGGAGGCTGGAAAGTCCAAGATTAAGGCACTGGTCAGTTTGGTATCTGGTAAGGATTTGCTTCCTCAGTAGACAGCCATCTTCTCACTGTCACCCTACATGGCAGAAAGGGAAAGTCAGCTCATTCAAACCTCTTCTATAAGGATACTAATCCCTTTCATAAGGGTTTTACTTCATAACCTCATTAACACACAAAGACACCGTTTCCTAATACCGACATCTTGCAGGTTAGGATTTTAATGGGGGTATAAACATTCAGTCCATTGTATTCAAGCAAGACTTTACATTTAGTAAGTTGTAGAGCTAAGATTCATCCTAAGACAGCTTGATTTTAGAACCAAGTCTTAGATAATAACCCATATACTGACAACTTTAAAACTTCTACACTCTTGATACTAAAGGATAACAATAGGGGTTGAGCAATATCTTCTCTTGTTCTCACGTGTTATATAATTTTCCAAAAAATCATTTTCTACTCATGGTATAGTTTATATGTTTCTTCCTCCTGAATAAGATGAAAAAGGTGATTCTTGCTATAATGTTGATAACTCTTTAATGATCATATATTTCAGATCCCAGTGGGAAATGGAGAAGCATAATCTGGAAAGCACAATTAAAACATACTTAAGCAAGGTGAATGCAGAAACTAGCAGAGCCTTAACAGCTGAGGTAAAAAAATATATATATATATATACAGATATATATATATATATCTGTATATATATATATGAAGAGTGAGGGAGGGATGTTTTACTTGTGTAATACTGGTATCCTAAAGAATGAAAAAAGGCTGGTTTTGAATAATCCAAAATAAGATATTTTAGTACTAAGAAGGAAAACACAGCTTAAACTCATGTTTTTTTTGACTCACTGGCATACTGCATATGAGTACTTCAGTGTTTATGATCACATGTTGTTTTACTTCAGTGATTCCAAGAAATCATTCTGTTGTGGTATTGTACAGGAAATACATAAACCTTGGGGAAGTTTCATGAAGCCAGGTCACTAAGCCAAACTTTAAATATAAGCTAATACCTAAAAACCAAAGGCCGAATGTTCTCTCTGATATGGATGCTGATCCATAATGGGAGGGGGGCATGGTAAAATGGAAGAACTGTGATTGGGAGAGGAGAGGAGGGAGTATTGGGGCAGGAAAGATGGTGGAACTAGATGGACTCATTACCCTAGGTACATGTATGATTGCACATATGGTATGATACTGCATCATGTACAATCAGAGAAATGAAAAGTTGTGCTGCAATGGGTACAGTGATTCAAAATGCATTCTGCTATCATATATACCTAACTAGGATAAATAACCTAATTTTAAAAAATAACATTTCACTACTGCCATAATATTTCTTTTCTTTGCCACTTTCCATATACATTGTATACCCCAGAGTCAAAAACGAACTTATTTTCCAGGCCCCTAGAAAGTCACCCAATTTCTTCTAAGTTAGCTTAGAACACCATAGCTAGTATCTCTCAAAAGAAATATAATTGTATATGTATATGTAATTTTTATTTATAGATAACCAAACTTGATATACAATAAGATTCACATTTTTGGAGAGTTCGCTGACATTAAAAGCATTACAAACCTTCCCACCTCTGTCATTGGTAAGCTCTATTCTCTAGCAGAGTACTTGGGATTCCAGAATTCAAGAACCAAGGAGTGTATCTGAACTCAAAATCTGTGGAAGTGGTTTTGAAATACTAGCGTTAACAAAAGAAAAAGCCCACATAACCTTAAAAGCTCAAGCTTGTATTCTTCTTTTTTTACTACTTTAATCAAAAATTTATTTCTGCTTCCACTATTAATTTTAAAAAGGAAGGACTTTGTAACAATGCTGTCCAAGAGTATAATCTGTAGTGAATATTGTGTGATGAGTAGTAAAAAACAGAGGCTAAGTCATTGTGTATCAGTTATGACTTAGAAAGGATTTCTGATATCGGAGAAACTCCAAGGCCCTTTGGACTGTTATCTTTCTGTGTGGTCTGATTCATTATTTGCCTATTCATCAAGGGAAAAAAGTAGCAGGACTTCTTTTGAGTGTTCTCAAATTTTGCTGCCTATTATGATTACCCAAATTATTATCCTAATGCTCAGGTTAATCCTGTTATCAATTAAATTGGAATCTCTGGGATCAAAGGATCATTTTTTTGAAGTTTCAAAAATTATACCAGTATGTGTGCAAGTTTGAAAAGTAACATTCTTGGAATGTTTACTAGCAGTAACCATTGAATATGAACATTAGAATTATAGGATTACATTCGATCAAAAATATTTAAAATGTATCTTGAATGATCAAGAAGTTCAGGTGCTATTGGGAGAGATTGAAAAATAGCTTAAAATTTACTTGAGCCAATATTCACTTACAAGAAGGACACCTTCAACTTCTTTCTTTTTCTGTCAAAATCCATAGGTGTATTTCTTACAGTGTCGTAGAGATTTTGGTTTGCTTCATCTGGAGCAGACTGAAAAGGAGTGTCTCAATCAGCTTGCCAGAGTGACTCACATGGCTGCAAGGTAACCTTTTCCTCATAATGAATGCATCTTGATCTTAGAGGTTCACAAATGTCTTCAAGGTTGAATGTAATCTACAATGTATTTCACGTAGAGTATACCAGAATCTTTGGAGTAAGGTAGCCACACACACACACACACACACACACACACACACACACACACACACATAGCCATATATATATTTCAGAAGTTAGTCACTTTGATGGCTGTACTTTTTGTTGCCTCTGCTGAAGCATTGAGTACAGTAAAAGCTGTAGAAAGATTTTTTCTTTCCTTCACAGTGAACTATATCAGAAGTCTCAGTCAATTGGAAAACTTTTTTTCTAGTTGTTTTCCCTAATAATGCTTGTTTTTATTTGTTTTTTATATGAGAAGTAAATACTTTACTCTCACAGTATTATCAAACAATGCTATATATTGAGGACATGTACAAGTTTTACCTGAACAGAAGAAATACATCTATAATACATACATAATGAAACTTCATTGAGTAGTGAGTATTCAATTAGACATTTAAAGATTTTTTCTGCAAGCTCATATCTAAATGTCTCTATTAATAATGCTTATATCAAACGCTATTAGGATACCTTGAGGGAAAATCAGTATTAACACCTAAAATCACATGCTAAGGGCAGTTTCTTACTATGTTATGCAAGAGTAGTTTTCAAATATTGAGCAAGTTGAATGAAATTTTCCTTAAATTTTTAATCTTATGGGGTATACCTTTGACATTAAACACTTAATTTAAAAAGAATCTCTGTAATCAAGACATCCTTAATTTTTTTAGTGATTAGCATTTTAATAATTATCATTCTTCTAAAAATCAGAATCTCTGATGTTTAGCAAGATTCCCAGGATGTATTGATGGGCATTCAAGTTTAGGAAGTACTGTTGTAAGTGATTGGTCTTCCTTTGCTTGCTACAGAGAGAAAGAATGCAGTATAAATGAAAATATTATGAGGCCTCTTTCTATGAGATGATCTTAGTGAAAACTAATTCTGCTGTTTTAAAATTTTTGAGTTTGGTAATACAAGTATGACAGTGTTACAAAAGACAGACATTTTAGACTTCCACATGAAGTCCCTTCTAAAGATGACAGGCCTGAAGATTCAGAGTTGTTCAAACTTAGTTATTTGTTGGACATGGCTTGACAAAGCTACTGTGTTTGTGCAGTTTATGCAATGCACAAAGGAATCTCATTCATCCTCACCAAAAAGGTATTTGTTTCTAATTTGCCCTGCCAAAGGCAGTATCTTTTTCTAATTTACAGAGGAACCAGGTAAGCCAGCTCTGGCTCTGTGATGTCAGAGTTAATGTGAAGATGGACCAAAACCTTCTTCTAAGACCGGTCAACATTTTTTAAAATGCTCCTGTAGTAAATGACTAAGGCAATTTCCCATATAGCTTCCCTACTTCACTGGAAATATTCCTATGCAAAGGTTTTATAATATGGTCTCTAAAATATCACCAAGTTAGAAAAAAATTGGCATTCTGGAAGACTAAGGTTGATTTTCTTTTGAAAAAACAATTTATATATATTATTAGTTTTGTTTTTATTTTTAATAACAAACTCTTCCATACACAACTTTGACCTAATTTAAGGGAATTATTGGTGATAGAAGTAATTTTATAGTTATATGTTATTTACATGTATGCTAGAGAACATAACGGAAATTTGCAGAAGCCTAGGTGTTACATAAAAAGAAATTTCTCTGTGTTTCTTTGTTTACATCAGCAATCTAGAATCACTTCAATTAAAGGCTGCAGTAGATAGTTGGAATGCCATTGTGACGGATGTTAGAAACAAGATTGCATTTCTCAGGGTAAGTCCTGAAATATATTTAGAGCAAATTGGCTGATTGTTAAACAAGACATCTAAAATAAAAGCAATTACAGAAATTTAGGGAAGAGCATTTTTTGTTGTTCTTGTTGTTATTTTGTTTTTTCAGATACCAAAGTTTAAGCTTTCAGATTGAGATTACTTTCATGTATTTGATGGTAGAGAGCATTCTAGATTCATACATGTGGCCTTTAGATCCTTAGTCCAGGTAATGATAAACTCAAAACTTGTCCCTCATACCTGGTTTCCCTGAAATTCCAAAGCTAATGCTACCCCATCAAAAATAAGTGCCTTAACTAGTTTTAAGTAATAATATGCTCAACTTAAAAGAAAGATCAAATAGGCCTGTACTCATTTTCAGTTTTAACTTTGTATATAATTATTCCATAATGCAAACTAATTCTTAATCAATGATTTGCTTGAATTGGGATAAGGGGAAAGGTAATCTAAAGAAGTAATTCAATAAATAGTTAGTAATTCATTTAGTTTTAGAATTTTTTTTTTTTTTTTTTTTGGTTTTAGAATATTTATATCTGTAAAGTTGATACATAATGTTGATTGTTTTGCAATTTACAACAGAGCAAGAAAGTATTGGTGCTCAGTTGTGAGGAGCTACCTCAAAGACTATAGACTTGTACAGTTTCTTCCTTGGTGGTTTTGACTGTTTTTCCCCAGACTCTTCTTTACTCAGTCTTTAGTGTGTCTTTAGCATATCTGTTGGTGTCTAAAGAGCTGTCCCTTTTTTCTCTGTCTTTATTTTCTTCCAAGCACACATCCTGTGTGGAAACTTCTAAATGTTTTATTTTATAAGACTTTCTTTTCCTGCTTTTGTGGGTTGTTTGCCAAATAATATTGTAAAGCAAGATGGAGAGAGTGGCCCAGAATGTTGAAAACATAATAATAAGCCTCCAGGATTGAAGTTTCATTTTTGGCAAAATCTAAAAGAATAAAATACATGTGGAGTAAGAGCAAGCTAAAGGTATATACTTTTTGAGATAAACAAAATGTGGACATTTAATCAGTATTCCCAAAGTTTTCCCTTTAGTTTTTAAAAATGAACATTTTTAAGTAGTTTAGCTCTTTGTTAAAAATGCTTGTTTTCCTGTGTATTACTTGACTCCTCTGACTTAGATTCTTTCTATACTTTATTTCAGTGATTCCTATTTGGCACTTAAACTTACAGAAACAAGGAGTTACACAAGGAACTGTGAATTATGTGTCACTGTTTCTTGTCAGTCAACAAACACATCTAAAAAATATAGTATTTACAGTGGGGATAGTGGTTTATAGCATTGGTCTTATGTTTTTATATTCTTTCCATCAGTGGATTGAGAGCTACTATTCTGTTGGATTATTCAAAACTATATCAAGTATGTTATTTCTTTGAAGTTGATTGTGCTTTAAAATATCTTTTCTCTTCCACCAGACACAGTACAATGAGCAAATTAGTAAGGTGAAGCAAGGGTTTGCCTTGAGTTCCTTGCCTCCAGTCCAGCTTCCTCCACCACCACCCAGTCCTGAAATATTGGTAAGAAATATGACATTTTAGAAAATTGCCAGTTTATTTTTGATAATATAAGGATATAAAACACTGATTATGCAGTATGTTTGATGTTGCAATTATCTCCATATCTACTAATACAATTAACAGATGATAATTTCCAAATGATGTAATAACTGGCTGACTCAATTGAAGCCAGTGCAGTAGGGTTCTATGAATGGATTTTAGTGATTTGTTTGCAATTTAAAAAGTAATATTTTCTCATCCTCAATCTCACCTCTATTGTAGGAGATACCTGATGAATACTCAGAATTCCTGGTTCCTCCATGTTACCACAGAATAACTGAAATATTTCAGTATCATTCCCTAGAAAGCATTTACTAAGGATTCACTCCTCTCTATTTCTACATTAGACTCTCTTTTCTTTAACTTTTATATTCTAGTTTATTTTCAACGCAAGGACAGCTTACACTTATTCCCATTCCCTGCTCCTTACGAGACAATGAATCTAACCAGATACACCATATACGTATTTCTGTACCTTCACATCCAGTGAATTCTCACAGGTTTTCAAAAGAACTTTTAGGATGATAGCATTAGGTAATAATTTTTTATAATCTTAATAGAACTGGTCATAGTAAAAGAAGAAAGGTATAAGATTCTTGGAAGCAGATGACTATTGATATCAGCACTCAACTGCTTGTAGTAGAACTCTGAAAATGTTATTTCTATTCATGGTTGAATATAACAAATTATGTGAGTTGTATGGAGTTAACACTGCACATTTTGAAAGCAGAATCCAAAACTAAAAGAACTTTATGATATACCCCATGAGCTTTAGTTTAGAATAATAGTATTGCCTTTTATAATTTTCGTCAGTTCAGTTTCTACAGGAACAATGTTTTATGAACATTGTTGTTCTAGACTTAGCACATCATCAATACCCAAGTACCCTGAGAAGGAAGTAGCTGACAGAGAAATTTCAAAGATTATCTATTACAGGAAGCAACACATATTTTTGGTAGGATTTCCAAAAATCTTATACCTTCTGCCCATATTCAAAATATTGCTTATAGGCTGTAATCAAACTTTCCCGTGATAAAAGGGCTCCACAAACTGAGAAGCTGAATAGAATTCTTTTAAAGAGTTTTCTGGAATGAAACCAGCATCAGCCTTGACTGGAAGATACCTGTGATACTCTACAACTGAAAAACAGTGAAATCTTGACCCCCACACCCTCTAGATCTTTATGCTGTTAGAGACTATCTTTGTGGCTTACCCAGTTTTAATAAAGGGCATAATCCACTGGCAGTTAGGCTCAATGGCAATTTATAAGCATCCTTTGTTAATGGTCTGAGGGGTACACATATATATATCTTCTGTACTTACTAACCCAATTCTCTACCATTCTTGATTCAGCTCACAGTTGTGTAAAAATGCAAGCACTATTGGCCATTGAGCAGCAACAAAATACTTTTGAGAGAACAAATACTAGAAATGTTAGTGTTATTTGTATAAATTGAGGCGGTATTATACAAGACAAGTACACTAAAGGGGACTGGGTTTAGGTCTCACTGTATGAAGAGCTATGTTGGTATTGGTCAAATCAGCTGTCCTGGACTTTGGTTTTCTGGGTTTTCCCATTAATAAATTAGGAAATTGTACTAGATGATCTGATCACTAAATTGCCATCCATCTCTGAAGTTCCAGTGTTCAAGAAATGATCACTAGACTTCAAAGTTATAGAAGTCTACCTGCGAAGTCTCTGATAATGTGAAATATTCTCAGTGTACGTGTGTGTGTTTCATTATATCTTGATTCATGTATCCTGGCTTTTTAATTCTCAAAGAATTGTTAGGTAACTGTGGTTCTTAAAAAGAGCATACTGTTAACTCAGTTACCCACCATTAATTTATTATTTAAAAACTTATGAAAAATTTGAAACGCACATAAAAATATTATAACAATCTTCTGCAAACCCAAGAGCAAGCTTCAATATTATCAGCATTGTTTTATGTCACCCCTTCTTCCTCTCCTCCCTGAGAGGAAGCAAACCCAAGACATCATATAATTTTATCCATTTATACTTTAGGTTATACCCTAAAAGATGATGAACTCTCATTGGATATACTCATAAACATCATTATCTTACCTAAGCAAATTATAAGTAATTTTTAATATCCAGGATCCAATTCAAATTTGCATTCCACCATATGTTTCAGAAATTTTTTTTTTTTTTTACCTATAAGATATATAATATCTGTCCTTTAGTGGTATTAAAAACCAAGTATCAACCCAATCTGTTATAATGCTCTCCTTTAGCTTTTCATTTGCCAGTTTTAGGATCATTTCTTAAAGCTATGTTAATGTTGGTTATTTTTTTTACTTCAGCAAAACAGTGGAATGCCTATTTAATGCTTTATGCAATGCTAGTCCTGGCACATGATAGTTGCTCAATAAATCTGTCCTCTTTTGTACTCCAACCAACAAGTTTTCTCTCTCATTGAGAGCTGCTAAAAAGGTTCAGGTTTCCCCAAATCCCTGGTAAATACAATGACACCCATAAACGTCTGGAAGTCACTGTAGAGAATTTATCTGCCAGGTCTACCCTCCTTTGTTCTTCTATTCCTCCTGGAGCTAAACATGAAGCTGTGCATCCATTAGGTGGTATCTTTAATACATAACCAAAAAAAGCAATATTTTCTGTGGATAACTTTTTGAGTTTTTTTGTGAAATTTCAGCATAACAATATAACAATACTAACAGCCAACATGACCAGCACTCACCAAGAACCTCCTTTATATAGTCCTATATTATACAAGTGGGAAGGAACCTTAAAGATCACCAAACTAGGAAATTGGCATCCAAGGTTAAGCTAAATCGAGAGAATGTGGAAATAAAACCCAGTTCTCTTTTCTGACTCTCAATATTCTTCCCAATATATCTCACCACACGAGATATTTATATATTTAACAAATATTCTAACATACATTGTTTCTTAGGCAGTTTTCTGTCACTGTGATAAAATATCCAAGATAAACAAAAGGAGGAAAGATTTGTTTTGGCTCACACATTCACAGGTTTCAGTTCATGGTTACTTGGCCATTTGGCTTTGTGACTTTGGCAAAGCAGTACATCATGGTGGTGAGTGAATGGATGAGGAAGCTTTCCACCTCATGGCCCCTGGGAAACAGAGAGCGGAAGCAGCCAGGGTCCCAATGTACTCTACAGGGACATACCCTTATCTCTACTCAGTGACCTAACTTCTTTCCAGTAGGCCCCCATCCTTTAAAGGTTCTACCACCTCCCAATAGTTTTGCAGCAGGCAACCAGGCCTTTAACATGTGGGTCTTTGTGGGACATTTAAGATGGAAACTATAACATATTGCTTCTGATATATTTTGTATCTGAACTTCAACATGTTTATCTTTATATTGCTCTGTGAATTTAAATCATTGCCTGTATAACCTGTATAAATATATAAATGTGTATAGTTTTTTTTTAATTTTTTAAATTTTCTCTTTTAGATGCAGCAGTTCTTGGGAAGACCACTTGTGAAAGAATCATTCTTCAGACCCATACTTACTGTTCCTCAAATGCCACCAGTTTGCTCTGGTGTCATCTCTACAGCAGGCCAACCTAGAACCCCCCTGGTAAGTCTTTCTTGGTGATGAAATAGATATTAATTAGTTGTTTATCACTATTATGGGCTTCTTCAATTAGTTTTTTATCAACTGACAGTTTGGTTTTGGGGGCAGTGGTTGGGTAGAGGGGATACTAGGGTGTTTAACCACAGAGCCACATCCCCAGCTCCTTTTTGGTTTTTGTATTTTATTTAGACACAGGGTCTCACTGAATTGCTTAGGGCCTCGCTATGTTGCTGAGGCTGGCTTTGAACTCCTAAACCTCCTTTCTCAGTCTCCCGAGCGACTGAGATTACAGGCGTGAGCCACTGGGATTACAAGCATGAGCCACTGGGATTACAGCAGTGCGCCACTGCATCTGGCTTGGTTTTTGAATAGATATATTTTTATACTATAGAGTCATCACATTTACAATTTTACTTTTGTAACAGGCAACAATGCTTAATAGATTGGTATTTATAATAGATAATTTATTTTTAGCATGTTTGTTGGGTGGATTGAAAAGCAAAGAAGCCAAATCACTCCAAACTAAATTATGCCATGAAGCCAAAGAAAAAATTTATACAAGCACGTACTGTATAACACTTAGGCGTTCTTTAACTATATCTATAAACAAACAATATAAGTACCACCACCTTGGAATATATGCTTTCAAGTAACAAATCTTCCTACCTACCAATAGTCAGATAAGCTTTTATCTAAGCTTGAAGAAATAATAAAGAAATTTAAAATTACTAGAATTATTTGTTGTCTTGGCTAAAGTAAAATTTTATTTGATTAAAAGAGAATCTTTCTCAAAAAGAATGATGTTACATGTAATTAATGAAAAAAATTATAACTTTTTTGTATGTTCTAAGTAATTATGTGTATATGTATATGAAATTGTAATAAAATTTTCTTGAAAACTTTGAAATACCTTAACTTTCTATTAAGATTATTTTCTGATTGCTAAGGGAAAGGTTAATACTAAGGCAAATTTTCTGAGCAGTATTCTGTTTCTTACTTACAAGATTTATTCAAGTTATCCAGTGACTGTTAACAGTTGCTATTTTTTTTATGACTTCTAAAACTTTTTCTGTATGTGCATATGCTTAGACATTTAAAAAATTTTTTAATATTACAAGAAAATACTTTATGGCAGAAAACTAGATGTATTTCATGGACATCATTCATGCTCCATAATTTAGATTTTCTTTTAGTTACTTAATTAGATCTACCATAACTTAGTCATTCTCTTCTTTACAGTCTTTTGGTTGTTTTCAGTTTTCCACTATTATAAAAAATACAGCAAAAACACTGTGCATTTATGTACATGTTTATAATTACTGAGGCAAGCATGTCTTATTTTATAATAAATAGTTAGGTAACAAATTAGAAATGTTGTTGCACTAGTTTAAAGGATCTCTGAAAAGGGAATGTGAGTATCAGTGTTATTCTTCATTGTAGTCATTTTCTGAAGTATGTAAGTGTCAGGTTGGCATGGAATTGTACCAGTTAAAACTGATGGGTTATAACTTTCTGCTCCTTACAGATGACTGGCATAGCCTGGACTATGCCAGCTCCTGTGGGAGAGACTGTGCTTCCTGGTACAGGTCTGGGAAATGATCCTTCCCTGATGAATTTGGAGAGGATTACAGACAGGCTGAAAACTGCTTTCCCACAACAAACCAGGTACCTTAGTTTTTATTTAGTGCTTGTAGATCATATTATACAGTTTCCATAGCCATAACTGTGACAGTGAAACCTTTCAGAGAAACATAAAATTCACACAGAAGTACAAATAATTATTTACCATGGTCTTGGTAAGAAAAATGAAATTTACCAAGAAAGGATAGTATTCAACAGAAATGCTAAACTTCTTCACTAATATTATTAGACTTTAATTATGAGAAAATAACATTTTAAATTTAGGTTTGCTCATTTACTGAGAGTACTAGTAGTGGTAACGGATCGAATTTTAATGCTACCAGCTGCAATATTTACCTTGATAACCTATTTTCAAAGGGGTTTTTAAGTTAATTGTATGCTAAATAAGCCCAGACATCATCGGGTTATAGTTCCCTATTTTCTTAATTTTATTGAAGATTCTTATAATTTCTTTGTTAGGAAAAACAGTTAAGTGCAAGAAATCATGATTTTATTGTGCTCTTTTTTTCTGTAGTCTGACTTTGGCAGAAGGATATTTAATTCTACACAAATGAAGTTTCTTTTATTTCTTGTACCCAAGGATGTAATTTGAATTTTCACCAATATTTTCATTCAAAAACTAATACTTTACTATGCCTACTGTTGCTATCTGGATTCGATGATAAGTTTATAATTCATAGTAATAAAATAAAAGTGAAAAATATAATATACAGAGTTGTTATAAATAGATAAGTATAAAATGAATAAATTATAAATGAAAGGTAAATATATCAGGCTAATTACACGACTCTTCATTTGAGGGAGAAATATATTTGATCCTCTCTTTCATCAGAAAAGTAGTTGTAGGCTCAGTGGACTTTGGGAATTGAAAAGGAGTATATTGATTAAAACAATTGTAAGTTCCTTTATCGAAAAATGTGGTTTTTAATTTTTGCTTTTTTATTCCAATTTTTATTTTTCTCTTCGAATTTTAAAAAGTTAACTCTTAACAGGTAAATAAGAAAGAAAACACTAACAACCTAGGTAAAAGGAATATTTTAGTCATAAGGGAAGTTTGAGAGAAAAATATAAAAACTTTAGTACACAAATAGGTAAACTCAATTTTTATATAATGAGCTCTCAAAAAAAGGTTATAATCTCTTTTCTGGAAAGAAAATAAATACTAAATTTTATTACTAATGAAAACATTAAACATCATTATTAAACAGAATTAGGTGTTTTTGTTTTGGCTTAATATAATTGCAGATGGACCTATAATCAATTGTTTTAGATAAGAAACCAGAAGGGTTACATTTGTATTCTACATACATATTATGTAACAGGGTTTTATGTCTCATTTGGAGGGTATATCCTCAAGTCAGTAGGGAAAATCACCACTTCTCTTTCTTTCATCTCTTTCAGAAAGGAACTTACAGATTTCTTACGAAAATTGAAGGATTCTCATGGGAAGACCTTATCTGGGCTGACATTTGATGAAATTGTTTACAAAATTTCCCAATTTATTGATCCCAAGAAATCACAGGTAAAAAACTCTCTCAGTTTAGGGGTTTATATAACTCGGTGGTAGAGTGCTTGATTAGATACATGAGGACCCAGATTCAGTTATTATTTCGTATCTTTCTGCTTGCATCTCTCTAATAGTTGGTTATTTTAACTATTTCCATAGCATGCTAATAAAATTGATAACCTGTAGTCATATAGCAAATAATTGATTAACAGTAAATAATTTAATAACTTCTACTTGAAAGAACAAATGTCCTTGAATGGACAAATTTAAATGTCTTTCACCAGATCATTCTAGAATAAAACTGACCCTCTGGAAATTTTCTCTAGGTTACTTTGAATGATTCTAAATGGTGCCTTTTTTCCTTAATTTTCTGTAAAGATTATTTAATTTATTTGTTAAAATTTTTTTGGTAAGGATTATTTTAATTAAAAGAACATATAGAGTTATTTTTGTCTTCACCTAACTCTGACAAGTATTGTCAACATTTTGTGTCAAGATTCCTCATGAATCTGATTATTTACCCTTTTGCTAATTCTTCTTCCACCCCATTGTCTGAAATTCTATAAGTTTATGCTGTTTTAGAACAATTCTAAACTATCAATATAATATTCTTATTTTCAGAGTCAAGGAAAATCAGTACCAAATGGCAATTGTGTTTCACCCAGTCATACCTCATCACAGCCTAATGCTCCCCAGACCCCCAAACCAGCTTGGAAACCCCTCAGTTCACAAGGTTCTGCCACATGGGAAGGAGCAAATAATTTGGTGAGACTGAAATTATTGAATTGTTGAAACACTTAACGAACACATTTCTATTCAGGAGAAACAAATAGGCCAAATTTAACATGTTTATTTTTCCATAGGATGATGAGGAGGAAGAAGAGGAACCTTGTGTAATCTGTCATGAGAATCTTTCTCCAGAAAACCTTTCAGTTTTGCCTTGTGCTCACAAATTCCACTCTCAGGTAACCCTTTAATCAGCTAAGGGAGATTCATATTACCTTATTTAAAATCATATACATGCATCATCTTCCTGTGACAAGCTCCACTAGGTATAACTCTGAACTTCACCTTTGGGTACCACACAGAAACATTTATACTTTTCTCCTGTTCGTACAATATCTACGCTCTGCTTTCTCATATCTCCATATACCTTACAGGAGAAGAGACTACGTTGAGATTTAAATGGTACACGGTAAGCAGGTCTCTGAGAAAATATTGATTGACATGACAATTTAGTGGCAAAACTAGCAACACAACAGTGGCACTTTACCTTGACTTGCTATAAATTCCTCATAGTATACTCTGTCTATACCTTTGATGCCTGCCCCCCCATTATTAATCATAAACCTATCTTAACAGTCTATCCAGGCTCCTATATTTGCATTTGAAGATGCTCAGACTTGAGTTTTAATGTTAGAAAAATGTTAAGGCTGTAATATCTCCTGTTTATTTTTGGCATTTATATGAATTAACTCCTAGTGTTGCTGCTATGTAAGTGCTATTCATATACAGTATACGGTCTAAGTCCTCTGTGGAGAGATGTAATTTGACATGGGAAACAATAGTCTAACACAAGAAAGGCTTCTCAGAAAAATAACCAGCTCATTCAAGCCATGTTTGTAAAACATTTCAAAATTTCAATATGTAGTACCTGGTACAAAATTATGTATTGCATTTATATTGACATGAAGAGATATACACAAAATAGTTAATCCCAAAAGAGCTCCAAGAGAGATTCTTAGCCACCTGACATTCCTATTTTAAGTTTTAAAAGTCCTGACAATTTATAATAAAAAGTAAATATTTAACAAAATTTATTTTGCTCTTTGTCTTTGCCAATTGAATACAAAGCACATAATTTATTCAGGTTACTTTCTAGGATTTGGGTTAGTGAACCTCATTTATACTGCTTAATTCTTAATCCTCTCTCATCTGACCTGGCTCTCCATTATTCATACAGGTCAAAATTACTTGTTTTTATAAAGTCAGTATTCAAGCAGATTCTTAACAGATAGTTTATAGTTGAATATCACTGCCATTGTTAACATAGACGACAACCTGAGTTTATTCATCACTAGGGATTTTAACTTCTGAACATGATATGTATTTTATACAAAGTATTGATAAATTTGTATTTTTAGTTTTGACTTTTTCTGGATTATATGAGCATACTATATAATGAAATAAACCAGAAAGAGATTATAGCAAGTTTCCTGACTTTCTTTGTCAGGAAGAATTGCTAGTCATTGTGACAACAGGTTGGGGAAAGAATCTTAATAAAAATAAACTGGCTCAAAGGTATTCTGCAGTTACCAAATAATATTGCTCAGCAAATCACAAATCACATAGTTATCCACTGGGTAAGGCTTAAGCTTTAAGGTCCATCAGAAGATATGCTGGTTGGTATACAGAGTGACAGCTGCCTCTGCTAGACTAAATCTAAGAGACTGATGTGAATCTTTTTGCTCCTTAGTGCATTAGACCATGGTTGATGCAACAGGGGACATGCCCAACCTGTAGACTCCATGTTTTATTACCAGAGGAATTTCCTGGTCACCCCAGCCGACAGTTGCCCAAGGTGTGATATAAGGCAGGTGACTGCAAAGGAGGCTAAGTTTTCATACTCCAGAACTTAGTTCTGCCTTTTATTATGAACTGATTGTGTGAGTAGTGTGAAGCAGTGCTCTCCTATTATGCTAAAGAAGCAAGCTAATCTCATTGAAGAGGCAGCCAGAGGAATCAAGACAAATCTTCAAGACTTGTGAACTGAACTAAAGAGGTTTAAAGAAGATGAGTTTTGTTAAATTATATTTGCTCTTATCTTCGTAGGTGTTTTTTCTCCTGTAAACACGATAGCTATGTTGCTGAATTTCTTAAGATTTCTTGTCTTTCTTCCTTCTTATTCTACTCATTCTTTACTTTCTGACAAGTACACTACATTATAATTTCCTGAAAAAAGTTTAGGAGAAAAAATAGAATAGTGAAGAAGAGAAGTAGAAAAATCCCATGGATTTTAGTGTTCCTCTTAACTTTTAAATATTAGCTATAAAAATTTAATTGGATTATTTAAATTGTATTTCTCTTTCCTATTCTTTTCTGTCCTCTAAAGTATGTACCCATGAAGAGATTGTGAGCTACTTGATGGTAGAGACCACACTGTCAGGTAGCTCACAATCTCTTCATGGGTACATATTTTAGAGGTGTGTTGGAGCTGGTTTGTAATGGCTTATGAGGGATGATTGTTAAAGTTTCAGAAATTTTGCAAACTAGGCATCAAATGATTGGTGGAAGGAAAGCTGCCGTATTGGCAGTATTTATACTGAAATTGTAAATTATAGAAATTGGTAAATACTGTAAGTAATGACTTGTCTTTCCTTCATGAGCTGGTTCTTAAACATTTGCCAGAACACCACAAGACATTTGTGTTCCCAGTGTCTTACATAATAGGTGCAGAACAAATTTTCTGAGAAATCAGGACGTGGTAAAAGAGGGAAGGAGTACTAATATACAAATTAGTGCACTTGCCGTGAGATTTTATGTTCATTTGTATACATGCTCTTTGGACCTTAATAATTTGCATTTTGAAGGGATTTATTTTCTCTTTAGACAGTCTTAATTTTCTTCTTCTGGTTAAGGGGGAATACTGTTTATATGTTGTTGCTTCTTGTTACAAAGTTGATGCCCACTGGGCTGGATTGCATATATAAAACTTGTCACTGAGAATTTTAATTCTTAGCAGTCAAAAAACTATTTTGAAAATAGTATTGTGTAAATGCTGTGTTGTATATGTCTCTAGTTGCAAAATTAAAGTAATTTAGGGTTACTTTTTGATTCATATGTTCCTTGGCTCACATTCACAGTCTCAATTTCATTAATTTATGGAAAAGAATAAATGTTTTCTAACTCATCAACTATTTGAACTATATATTTCAGTTTAGATATTTTGAAGTTACTTTAAAATCTCTATTTAAAATATCTATTTCTGTAATTGAATGCTAAATAGTTATTTTTCTGTAATGAGAAAATATGAGGGAAAATATTCAAAAAAGGTAGCAGTCATCATATATAAAATGCCAAGAATGTATTAGAATTACACAGGGCCTTTAAATTAACCTAGCACTTTAAAGTCATGGTCATGTAGCAAGTTACTTTGTAAAACTTAGTTTATGTTTACAATGTAACTCCATTTTCATGTGGAAAATAATAAATGTTTCTTAAGCAACTATTTTATTTGTGTATTTTATCTTCAGTATACCCAAAACTACTTTAAATCTCTATTTTAAACATTTGTTTCTGTTTAACTGTGCTTAAACTTTTTCTTCTGTTTTGAAAAAGGTTAGGAAAATATCCAAGAAGAAGTGAGTATCTAGACTTACAAAATGACAATGATGTCTTAGAATCAGCGTGCCAGAACTTCTTAGGCCCTTGATGATCTTATAATCTATCCTCTCATTCTATGGGCATGTCAATTTATGTGACTAGATAGTGACAAATCTAGTCCCAATACCTGATGTCCTTATGCTCTATTACATACTTCCTTTACAAATTCATGCTGTAAGATTGGTGCTGACCTGCCATTCTGAGCTCCAAGGAAAAGCCAGATGACTTAACATAACAGCCAGTGTATGGTAAGAATGTACATAATAGGACAGTGTTCCTGAAAGTCCTGTCTAGTTCTACAGGTGCTGAAGATAATGGGATTATTTTTCTTTTTGATATAATTTCATAGTACAGAGAATTATTATCACTGTCATGCTTGTGTACTGAAGGATGGTCCAGAAGAACACTCTACTGTGCCCAGAGATGCAGTGAGGACAGAAAGCATCTGATGTTGCAATATGTATATCAAACAGTCTGCAGGTATAAAGTAATATCATTGCAGCTGCTGCTAAAGGATATGTCTTCTATTTTCCTTCATATTTTCCCATGTGATTAACACTTTACAGTTTTTAAAGGACACCTTCACTCAGCACCACAGAAAAAATAAATATAAAGGATACCTTCAAATGTGATTGGTACCTCATTTGATCCATTAGTAAATCTGGACTTGATGTCATTATTCTTTATAGGTGAAACTAAGAGTCAAGCAAGAGGAAAATAATTTGTCCAAGAGTTTAGCTCTTGGCATTTTGGCATTTGAATACAGACTTCTGTCCCTTACTTGGTATTTACTTCTAGTACTTCCCAACTCCATCCTATTTTGAGTTGACATTGCATATAAGAGAAGTAGTATTTTATTCCTTTAAAATAATATTCTTCCAATTAAATTGATTACACGGTAAACTCATTGATTGTTTTGTACTAGGAATGTGGTTTTGAGTATATAAAAGTATATAATAGTAGTGGGACATCATGAAAGAAGTTGGACTCACTTCTCCCTTTTATAGTTTGCTTAGGATAGTTCAAATTGGTGCCTGTTGTCTTGACATAATTATTCGTTCTTCCTTTCACTTTCAGAAGTGTCCCAATTTGGATGATGAACTTTATCTTAAATTGTCAATTCAGGAAAGGCAGGCTTAAATACTTTTTAATTACCAGATTCAGAATTAGCAAAAAATTCTCTGCATTTATAAAATGCTCTTAATACCTTATCTGTAAGCCTCTCAGGTAAGAATTCTGGGATTGGAATAGTTTTGAGATTATTCTAGTTTATAGCCAGATAAAAACAGCAAATGATTACTAATTTATTATAAAAATACATGATTTCTGATTTTCTTGAATAGGCTGTTTTCAGTAACCAGCTGTGTACATTTGAAGATGCTACTTAGTAGAGCTAATGGGCTGTTGTATCTTATCCTAGACCAACACCTCATTACATGCTGTGTTTATAAAAATTCCAGGAGGCCATCTAGGAATCTGCCTTGCAAATGAGCACCATAGGTGCTCTGATACACACTAAATTTTGGAAATTACTGGTGTTAATAGAAAGATACTTTCTCAAGCAGATCTATGTTTGGATTTTTGAATTCTGTATTTGACATATTGTGTGTTTATAAATGAATTACTTTTATCAACTAATTCTTTTTCTGGAAAATGGAGAAAAAAATTATAATTTTTAATGAACATTTATTAGTCTTTCCCAAAGCAGTAAAATTTCCACTATTCGACCTGTTTAAATTTACTCCTTAATGATAAAATTCTAAAAAATTTGTTTATCTTTAACTACCATTATTAAAAAGAGATGAAGAGAGAATATGATCAAAGTTCTACTTCCAGCTTCACAACACCCCAAAATGTTCAATATGTTTATTTCAGATAATCACACCCTCATAAAAATTTGATTGATTCCTTTTAATAATATGGAATACTGCCTCAAGGGGTTGAACAACTAACAATGATTTTGAAGACTGAATGTTTTGAAGGCTTATGGCAAAGACTTCATCTTCATTTGGAAGATAAGAACCCTGAAGAATTGATTTGCCAAGGTCACACAACTATTAAGTAGGGCCATGATTCTAAGTCAGATTCTAACACCATACTGCCTACTTGAAAAGAACAAACAAAACTGACTATTTGAAAATCAACAAGTTGTTTCTTTGGATAAAGACAGAAGCAAAACAAGATTAGAACAATCTTAGCACAAGGAAATACTATTATAGCTCAGAATAAAGCCAAACTTACAGTCTTCTTGCATCAAGGTTAAAGTATTTGATCAATACTTTAAATAAAGACAAAGGTCAGGACTGGGGTTGTGGCTCAGTGGTAGAGTGCTTGCCTAGCATGTGTGAGGCACTGGCTTCGCTCCTCAGCACCACATAAAAATAAATAAAGGTATATATCTATCTATAACTAAATTATGTCCATCTACAACTAAAAAAACAATAAAAGACAAAGGAAAGATATTTCACCTTTTTAATTTCAAATATCATCTTGGTGCTTATTTAGAACATGTCCCTAAGGTTGCATCATTTTTTTAAACCATGAAATTTTACAATTACTACTATGATTTCAGTATCACACCACCACAGTTCTGCAGTATGAATTATCTCTGTCAGTGTTACAGGCCTTTGATTTCTTTTTGGAAATATTTTATGACGAAAAAGTAGGCTAATTATAAGCAATAGTTGTGAAGTTGTGCATTATTTTAATCCAAGGAAAATTGTTTTAATTCCTAAGGTCTATAATAAAGTTATGCCTCAGCAACTAATAATGAAATATTTTCAGTTAAGAAAAGTAGATTGTTTTTAATAAATTATGAATACATTTATAACATTATCAGATCACTACAAATAAAGTTAAAGACCAATAGATTTTAAATATATTTTTTGAAAGCAAAAATGGATTACTACCCTCTGCTCAACAATATCATTAATCTAGAGTTGATATCCTCTTTGAAGTTATGACAACATCACAGATCATTATATCAGACTCCTGTGATCATACTCATCAGTATTTATTGAATGCTTGCTAAATGAATACAATTTTGGACTCTCTGTATACAACAAAACAATAGGACATAGTTTCTGACCTGAAGAAGCTGAGTCATGTGGAAAGCAAGCATCTCAAATTGATAACTCATATTATGATGTAACATGCATTTACTGCCCAATGAACTATAAGCAAATACTATTAACAAGAGTTTGGCCTGGTCATTGTAAGCTGGGACAATTGGAACCTCTCTTGGAAAATGAAGAAATGGGTATGGACTGTGGTGAGCCTTTCCTATAGACCGTGGCCGCCATTAGAAGATGGCGCTGGCTTCCACTGTGGCCTGTGATAAACAACTCCTTTTATGGAGAGTTGGCACGTAATCCCTTATCACCCTATGAGAAAGATCCACGTGGCAGCTTGGGATTGGTATGCGGGAGGCTTTATTAGGCTGTGCTTGGGCGCTCGGCGGGGGGGTCACTAGCAGATGATACTTGAATCAAGGCCTGAATAAACTGCTGAAAGAAGAATCCTGTGTCGTGTTTTTCCCTTGCCGGCGAGGGGTCGCGACAATGGACCTTGGTGATTCTTGGTCATTCTTACCTTTCCACCTGGACATTCCTCATACTCCATGTTTCACACTCTCTTCATTCAGTTTTACTCAAATGTCAAGCTTTCCTTAACTACTGTAATGTAATTATCTTCCTCAACACAGATACTATTTTCTCTTATTATCTAAAATTCAGTTTGTTGATTTCATCTTTCTCGCAATATAAATACATGTCAACAAGACTCTTGTTCACCATTGTGTATCTATTGTCCAAAACATTGTCTGCATTCAAAATGGGCCCTGTGAATTAAATAGAACTTACATAAGAATACAGAGCACCACTTAAGGCAAGGACAGTAGTTTGAAACTCAAGTGCTTCCTAAAGAATTCTTTTCAGTCATGGC